GGGGGGGGGAGGAGTGGGCAAAGGCAGGGCGAGAGAAGACACTAAGAAAAGAACGGTTTCAGGATCATGGGGAAATGATTCGCTGGTGGAACGCTGGAAGGCTGAGCCTAAGACCAGAAGAGGTGTAGGGGCGGAATGGGATTCGTGAAGGTTTCGAGAGAGTGAGAGAGTGAGAGTAGTGATTGATTTGATCGAGTGAGTAGTGCGTTGGTTGAATAATGAAAGAAGAAAGGATGATGGAATCAATCAATGGAGTCGGAGGGCGAAGGGGGGCGAGTGATAGGTGCCTAAGGCGGTTACAGGCGGTGAGCGGATAGGTGAGTGATGATAGGACAGACAGCAAAGCGGGGAAGAGCTCTCCACCAATCAACACGAACTGACCAAAAACCCTGGAGGAGGTCTCGCCTGCTTATAAATCGAGGCTGACGATCCTCAGTCTTTTTTCTCTCTTCGCCCATTCTCTTCCACGTCCATTGAGTCCATTGATTGGTACCACTGATATGAAGAAACTGCCTATCGGTGATAGACACGGCTTTCTCCGGGTTTACTACCGTTACACTCAACCACTAACTAACTACGGCAACTATCAATTTAACAATTTATCTTCTGAAACAAGAGTGACTCATATCGCGCCACATTTTATTTCCCCTCCGTGATGATGAATGCTGCTGCTGCTGCTGCTGCTGCGTACTGCGTACAGGGTGCAGTTTGTACTTTTGTACTTACTAGTAGTATGTGCACCTTCCGATAATTGGGGCTCTCGTACCACTCGGATGCCTCGGGTGGCACCCTCTATTATAAAATCATGGAGAGGGAGGGCTCAATGGGGCTCTTCTACCACTGGAGGCAGGAAACAGGGGTCGCAAGTAGATCAAAGGAAGTAAAATTGAGGCAGCTCGGAAACTCAATCTCAGTCTGTCCGGAACTGCTTGTCTCGGTCGAGTGCCACCTGGCAATCGGGGTCAATCGTGGGGGAAGGATAGCCAAAGGTCCGCAAGCCCGGCTCGCATCCAGACGCCGAAATAGGCTGCCATTGAATCCGTTGTCCATGGACTGATCGTCAAAGCCCCAGGCACGGGGATGATTGCGTACTCTAAGTATAGCAAAGACGGGCCATCTTCTATATGTAGCAAATAGCCCCAATATGTTATCGCACAAGATAGAGGATCGGGGACACTGGCGGATCCGTCCTGGCCCTGCAGGACCCAATTATCCTTCCCATCGGTTTTGCTATCGCGCCGAATCCGAATGACGTGAAGATCGACTACCGATGGAACGGACGCCAACTAAGCGTCGACCCGTAGTGGATTGCCCCGATGGAGTCTGGTGTTTGCAGCATGGTTGTAATGGCAATGATCGATGTTGAGGACAGGGGTAGTGACAGAAGATCGGTCAGGATGGCGTTGTTCATTACAGCAGACCTCGTATTCTTGCGGTCATTGACGTGTTGCAGTCGAACGGTGTGATGTTGGCTGTCTGACTCAGCCAGAGTTATAATTCCCGTGATGCTGAACTAGGTGGCGGTGCATGTGTATCACGTGCATTACAAGCCACAGTGGGGCGCCGCCACGTTATCTTATCCCAACGCGACCTCTCTCTTATCTGCGACTTCCAGTGATTCAGCCCAGCCTATCCTGCTTGGACCATCGGTGCACTACTCGCCTATTCCCATCACTCTTCTCTTGCTCATACTTCATTCCCCACCTTCTCCGCTCCTATCTCATACAACATGTCAGACATCGCAGCCCTGGAGGCTGAAGTCAAGGAGTTCAAGCTTCAGGTACGCCAGGCGCAAATTTACCACCCTGCAGTGAATCTAACCACGCGCAGCTTGAAACCGTCCAATCGAGTTTGCAGGTAGACCCAGACAACGAAGAATTGCAGAATCTCAAAACTGAGCTGGAAGAACTTATAAACCTTACCGAAACAACCATCGCCGAACTGAAACCGCCTGCACCACCCGCACCCCAACCGGCCGCCGGCCCCGCGGCGAAGGACAAAGGAGTGACATCCAACAACTACCGCAAACCGACTGTCGAACAGCCCGAGGAGTCGTCAGCGCCATCATCGCACCAGTCGTCCTTTACAGTCAACGAAAATGTTCTCGCCCGCTGGGTCTCGGGCGATAACTCGTTCTATCCGGCGCGCATCACCTCCATCACCGGCTCCTCGAGCAATCCCGTGTACCTGGTCTCGTTCAAGTCGTACGGGACGGTGGAATCTCTGACCCTCAAGGACATCCGGCCACTCACTAGCAATGACTCGCGTAAGCGCAAGGCTGATGCAGGCTCAGGCAATTCTTCATCGCAATCACCGGCACCCCAAACACCCCACTCGAGCGTGATTTCCGCGGCCGCGGACATCAATCCCGCGTTGGCCAACCAGGCGCGTCAGGAGCCGACCAAGGTGAGCGATGGATCCGCGCGGCCCAGCAAGGTCGCCCGTAAGGTGAAGGCCAATAAGGAGCTGGAGGAGGGCAAGATGAAGTGGAAGGACTTCGCTAACAAGGGGAAGCTCGGCCGCAAGAAGGAGAGTATGTTCCGAACGGGAGATGGATTGAACGCTCGAGGTATGTGCCCCTCTGTCATTGTTGCAGGGTACGTGCAGGAGCTGATTTGAATAGTGGGTTTCACGGGGTCCGGCCAGCAGATGCGCAAAGATCCTACGCGATCTCGACATGTCTACCAGCAAGGCGAGGATGAAGGATACTAGTTTCTTGAGTGTTGTTCGATGGGATACTTCCCGCCGTTACCTCGCGTCCTTTACCATGCATCACATCGCTAACGGGCTATGGTGACAGATCTACTGCAAGTCGAGCCTGTCGCATGAGCGGGGGTGGATTGTCGATGGCCACAGCCGCTGCTGTGGTGGGACATCAGACCATTACCTATGAATGATCTTCTCTGTGTAATTTATTTTATCTCTATTTTATTAAATATTGGCAGCCGGACACCCGGCCGAGTCTTATGTCTTCGCGCTATGCATAGCCATGGCTATGCTCATTGTGATACGTGCTACCAGTTACTTTCTCTTCATCAACGCTGCTCATTTTTGTTCAAAATCGGTTTGACATCCATAATAGACAAAGTTTCTATGGTAAGGCATACATAGGAAGAGGGCAGTATACCCACGCTGAGTCACTCACTACCAACAACCTCTCTCTCTCTTCAAACCACCGCTGCCAGATCCGGCTATCGGGACCTGGTTTAAGGACGGCTTCTAGGGGTTGTTTGGACAATACGGTACAGGCAGGGATCAGGTTGCACGCCTCATTAACAGCTATCATGCACTGCGTATCCTCGCGCCCAGCACTGCCACAGCCCCATGATGACCTGCAAGGCTGACGCAACACTCTTTACCATCCCTCTCAGGACGGATGTCATTTCAATCTTCCACCAAATCTCCACTACGACCAGTATAAGTCCCCTCTAACTCAATTTCCTTTGATTATATGCAAAGATGAGCTTCGGATTTGGAGTCGGCATCCCCGGTCAACAAACTCCGGTCGAAAATTGCGGATGGCCCCGCCGATTTCAAGAACTTAACCGATGAGTATGGTCTTCCTGGGTCCTATCTGCGAGGAGACGTGCAGCTGCTTATTGCATGCCCAATAGACTGAAGACCTTGTACTCCACCGTACAATTCATTGGGGCCGATCTCTCTCAATCAGCCCTGGACGATCAGCAAAAGAACGAGCTTCGCGAGATAGAACAGAGCTGTCACAACGTACTCCTCGATATCCAAAGCTCCCTCGGGCGCTACAGAGAACTAGATGGGATTCATGATAGGAAAAGAGACAAAGTCACCAGGATCTGGAAGCGGCTGAGCTGGGGTCCAGATGAAATCGACCGGCTGAGAGCCCGGATCAGCAGTAACGTCTCCCTCCTCAACACGTTCATCGGACGAATCACTCGGACTGGTGTCACCAAGTTGGTCGAATACTGTGAGAATGAGGAGACTCGGACAATCTTGACCTGGCTGTCACCGATCAGCCATGCTCCACAGCATAGTGACTATAGAGATCGGCGTGAGCCTGGGACTGGCAAGTGGGCCTTGGCGACGCCCGAGTTTCGGAGTTGGCTGATGTCACCAAAGCAGACATTATACTGTCCAGGCGCTCCCGGTGCAGGCAAAACTATCCTTGCGCCCATCGTGGTCGATGAGCTTTTCCTTCGGTATCGGTCGAGCGACAATGTTGGAATCGCGTATGTTTACTGCAACTACAAACGTCAGCAGGAACAGCAGTCTGCTCAGATCCTTGCGAGCCTAATACAACAGCTGGCTTATAGAAAGCCCTCATCGTTGGAAACAATCAAGGTGCCATATCAGCGGCATAGTACCTTGAGAGCACGACCATAATATGATGAACTATGCAGACTGATGCATGCAATATCAAGTCAGTTTGAGCAGATCTTCATTGTGATTGATGCCCTGGACGAATTTCAGATGCAAGATGGTTCACGGAATCGCGTGCTACATGAGATCTCCGCCATCCAGGTCAGTCACAATGTAAACCTTCCAGCAACATCAAGAGATATTCCGGATGCCACAGCTCTATTCAACGGCCAGCCAGTATTGGAGATAAATGCTCGTGAAGAAGACATTGTGAAATACCTTAAGAGCCACATGATTAGGCTACCATCATTCGTGGTACGGAACCCCGGGCTCCAGGGCGAGATAATCACACAAATTGTCAAGGCATCCGAGGGAGTGTAAGTTATTATCCTGCGCTCCTTTGTTCTGTCTAATGTTCCAAATAGCTTCCTTCTTGCACAACTGCATCTTGACTCCCTGGTAGGAAAAGATCGCCCAAGGCGCTTAAATCTGCGTTGAACAACCTCCAGAGTGGCTCTAACCTATATGATTCCGCCTATAATGAAGCCATGCAACGGGTTGATTTGCAATCATCAGATCAAAAAGAGATGGCGAAGCAAATCATCTCGTGGCTCACTTACGCGCGGCGACAGCTCACTCCCATGGAGCTGCAAACTGCGCTCGCTGTTGAAGTTGGCGAACATGTGTTTGATGCTGAAAACTCTCCAGATATAGCAGATATGATTTCTGCTTGCGTAGGCCTGGTCATCATAGACGCGCAGAGCGGGGTCATCCGACCAATCCATCACACAGCACAGGAGTATTTCAGCGAACCGGTCCGATCAGATGGTTTCACAATGCACCTAGTGATATCGCCTCAACGTGTGTGACTTACTTGTTGTTTGACTGCTTGCGATCAGGATCTTGCTCTTCCGATGAGCAGTTCGAAGCACGTCTTGCGAATCATCCGCTATACTCTTATGTAGCCATCAATTGGGGAAATCATTGCCAAGCAGCATATGAAAACAGTGAAAACTGTATTATACAATTACTGGACTCTACGCCCAATCTCGATGCTTGCGCCCAGGGCCTATTTGCGCATAAACTGTTTGCAGAGCACTATGGATACAGCCAACAGTTTCCCAAGCGGGTTACGGCACTGCATCTGGCAGCGTTCTTTGGCATGCATGGCGGTTTACTTCACTTGCTTCGCCGTGGTGATCCGATTGAGACTAAAGACTCCCATGGAAGGACTCCTTAATCATGGGCCGCGGAAAATGGGCACAAGAAAGCGATGGATCTCCTTTTGATTGAGGGCGCTAATCCGAACGCGTTGGGCGGGTTGCGTCGGGCGCCCTTGTCTTTGGCCGCGATCAGAGGTCATATCGACGTGGTACAGTGTTTGCTCGCTGAGAATGCTGAACTCGACTCCCAGTACAAATATGGTCGCACGGCATTATCTCTGGCAGCGTCTGTGGGTCATGCGTCGGTGGTTATGTGCTTGCTTACAGAAGGAGCTGATTCGGAGTCGAAGGACGAGGAGAATCGGACCTCACTGTCGTGGGCAGCGCAGAAGGGGCATGAAGCCATCGTTGAGCTCCTGCTAGACAAAGGTGCCTGTCCGAATGCTCAGGACCTTTTCGGTCGGACACCTCTGTCCTGGGCGGCAGTTTGTAATTGTCGAAATATCATCGCTTTCTTTTTAGGGAAGGGGACTGATCCAGACGCGAGTGACGACTACGGTCGCACCCCGCTATCCTGGGCTGCTGGTGAAGGTTGTGAAGCAGCGGTAGAGCTTTTGCTGGCTAACGGTGCTGATCCAAACTTCGGAGATGCTGCGGGCTGGGATCCGGTATCATGGGCTCGTTACTTCGACCACCATGGAGTTGTCTCTGTTCTGCAGAGAAGCATGGATACCATCAATGGTGGGAATCAGACATTTGCGACAAAAAATGGATCCTTCCACGCAAGCACGTGCCAAGTGCCACTCCCTGAGGCAACACTGCTTTTGCTTTCAATCACTTGCTGGGAACTTCGAGCGAGGTTACAATAGATAACAATTCAATGAGGGCGACGCTTACAGCATCAGCAGGGTGCCGTCACCCATGCACTCTCTCAAAGGCGATGATTTGAGCAAGAGGCTTTTGCCGAACGGTAACAAGTCAACATGTGACGCTTCTCTCAACAATCGTATCTCCCGAGCACACGAAAGTGACTACGCGGGTGTTAGAGTCATATCTAATGGTTTCGATGCCAGCCGCTGCCGCGGCAGTATGAGTCCTCGCGAAATCAAGCGGCGTAAAGTCGAAGTCTCTACTGCCGGAGACACAACCGCGTGCAGTGACCAGTTTTTGAATGATCCGACGGACCACCGCCTTAGCGTTGATACGGATACCCTCGGCAGGGCCCATGAGGATACCAGCGACAAAGTTAGATCGCATGCATTGACCGATCGTACACAAAAGCGAGCGCATGCTGCAAATCACCCTGAGAGACACTCGATCCCGGGCTCGACATCTCTCCTCGTTCCTTCCAGAAAGCCTGGAATCTGCGACCAGAAAGATTTCCCACACGCACAGCATCGCCCTGATGAGAAGAAGGACGGACGGACGGACGCAACAGCAAGCTTCTCTTCACCCTGTCGAATTGACCTGCCCTTTCTGTCTCGTCGAGGTCAGGCGTTTCAAGTCCCGTGTGCATTTGGCGTATCACATTGATGTGATTCACCTGAAGTCGCGCAAGTACTACTGCCCTGAACCTGAGTGAAAGGGCTCCGGTCCCGCACGATACTTTCCCCGCCGGGACCTTCTTGCTCAGCATATCCTCCGCGTGCATAGGCGGCGGCTCTCCTTAGCGGAGGCGAACTGGTGCAGCCGTGAACAGATTCTACCAAACGCTTGCCCGCTTTGCCAGGAGGACGTGGGCACGCGGAGAAAACTCCGGGATTGTATTATGCGACATTACAGCGGTGTTCGCACCGATTAAGATGGATTCGATTGAGGTAGGAGAGGGTTTCAGGAGGGGAGGGGGTGGACGAAGTGGATATAGCATTCTATTTTCTATCCTTCACCTGCACATCCGGATAAAGCAAATAGCCATAAATCATGAAAGATAACCCCCACAAAGCGTTACCATTTCAAAAGCTTGAAACTGTAGAAACCCACAGGACATAAAATAAGCCCCAACCAACCTCCACCAAACACACCGAACTGAGCACATGATAGCCAACTAAGCGTTCCCCACTCGGACCCGAGCCGCGATAAGCTTGCGTGCTTCACGGCGAGGTTAATTGGACAACTTACTAATTCTACTAGTTCTTCATTAGTTAGACTTTAGGTGTATTTATATTTTATAAATAAGATTCTATAAGATTATATAAAATAGGTAAGATATTTCTTCGGGAGGCTAGGCTAATACCCCTCCCGTGTTACTGATTTCCTGAAACAGGTATAATAATGTAGTACTATTAGCTATACACCTCGTACCTCCAAAGGAAGAGGAATCGAGATATAGCGAGAGAGATGATCTAGAGTCTTTCCCTGCGGTCTGTCAAGTTAAACCAGAGCAAGGGAACCAAGATCTTACGGTGACATTCGACAGCTATATCCAAGAAAGGCTGCTGCATCCCGCGCCCGGAAAGCCATCTCTTCCTCGTAAGGGAGAAAAAGGACATTATGGTGGCCTACGCACGCATCAATGGCCTTTTGCGCGCGCTCTGGTCACCAAGGAATTCTCCCCGCAGAATTTCTGCCTCGGTCGCAGAGAGTGGCGAATGTTGTACTATGTGTTCCATCACAGACCACACTAGCTCCAGAGGTAAGTGCTGATCTAGATTGGCAGCCTCTCTCGCTGCCGCGGCCCACCAGTTATAGTGTTGCGGATGGACATTCCGTGTAGAGCAAATACAGCAGTAGAGGTCAACAAGACAAAACTTAACCAGGATTACATACCCCGGCTGACTGGGATCCACCAGGCCCAAAGACTTTTACTTAGTATAATAAGTATAGGGCCAGGTCAGCAGTTGGCCCTCTACGAGCGGCGCCGATCCGAAGATATACAGTACTCGGGGCAATTCTGTCTCCGTTTAGGGATTCCAGTAGTCCAGATCAAAAACTGTCGCGAGTGCCTGGGGCACCTCATACTGGAGCTCACTAACATAGATTTTGTCTTAGTACTGAAACGCCACGCAAGCCTGGGTTATAGTCTTAGCTTCCACAGCATAAAGGCTAATAACAACAATCAGTACAATGCTTGGTGCTCCTCGCTATAGTCATGGACTTCGCCTCCATATATCAGGATGCGGGGCAGATGGCGGCCACGGGTATTGCCGTAAAATAAGGCCTCGTTCCAGGAAGGAATGGAACTCACGATCAGGTGCTTAAGGTGTTTATATAGCTGACAGTGGTCGATTAATTGCAGGTTATTGACGTAGGAAGTGGTTCGGATGTCCATGCGTTCTGTGGGCGCTGTTGCAGTATCAGTGAACTGTACTTCACAGGGAAGCCATTGAAAACGATTAGACCAACAGCTCTCCTGCCCACCACACCCGGTTCTGCGATGTGGAACCCTATCATAACGACTTCTCGGGAACTGTAGACCATCTAAGGGAGGAGGAGGAGGAGGAGCCGGCATGTCTCAGACAGAACCCTCAGTCGAGCTCCATAGATCGCTCAAGGTCACCTGCCTGCCATGTACTAGAACTCTGGAGTGGCCATAGACGAGAGCATACAGGCTCGGATCCACCAGGGTGCAATAATCTGGCGGATGTCTCGACTGTGAGCCCAATAGGGCTATCTCAGCTCGGAACCCTTCCTTTAGCTCTGACGCTCTTGACACATCGGATTGACACACGACCGACGAACTGTCGAAAATCAAAAGACGGCCTGATCTCCGCCGCTCCGTCGCCTTATTGCACAGTTCGGCCAGGCACCAATCCCATGCGGCAGCACTAATGAGGGAGCCTTCTGGTCCTTCCGTGGCGTCCCGATACTAACGCGTGAGTAGGGCTTCATCTGAGTCCAAGATGGCACGATCCCACTCTGGCTGCTCCGTAATGCGTTGCTTGAGTTGAATCATGGCCATCTCGCGTTTGGTCAGTCGAGGGAAGTGACGATAGTCCACGAGTCCATGGGCAAAGCGGGCCTCTGGCACGAGCTGGTAGTCTAAGGGGATGGAGCCAAATCCAGGCACCTGGAGCGGACCTACACCAGTATGGTCAAGCGTGGTCATTTTGATTTTTCTCTTCTTTTTGTGAGAGGAGACATTTCAGTAGAGTGATTGATTGATGATTTCTGGCCCAAGGAATGAGTTTGTGACGGTGGGTTTAAAGAGTGTAACAGTAGTCAAGAAGTCAGCTCATCTATCGATGGGTCCAACAACACTAAGCCCTACCTTTTCCTCGTTCGGGTTTCAGCTCCGTGCCACTTGTCTCTTCGATGACTATTCACTAGGATTATATATCTTTATCAAGATTTCGAAATACACATACACATGGCAGTACAAAAGCAATAGAGTTAGAAGAAAACAAAGAACAAAAGAGATTATTAAAGAGAGAAAAGAGAGGAAAGAGGCTGGAAAGAAAGAGAAAGAGGCAATAGCAAAAAGAACCACAAAGGTCGCAGTCGAGAAGAGATGAGAGAGAGAGAGAGACCGAGAAAGATATGCTCTCGGCAGCTCCCCCACATCCAATGGTCTTTTCCAAGCCGAGCCAAGCCAACAGAGTGAAGGAGAAGTACATCATCCCGGAGCTGTACAGGTAGCTAAGCTGCTCAATCGATGTCCTGATAGTTGAGCAATGCCGCATCCCAGCTCACCGTTTTCTCCATGATTCTTGCTTCGGAAAAGGAGGCGCGTACAAAGCTCTTTCTGTGAGAATATCGGTGGCTTTCTTTGACAACAGAGAGTGTTTGATGGCTGCCCTCTACGGATAACAACTTGAAGACGAATGTGGTCAAGGTAAGTGTCATAAATTGCTGGAACTCAATGCCTCTGGTCCATCCAGATAAGGTAAGAAAAAAACCCGAACCGAACCAGACGCCACGCTCGTCAAATCAACCATAATGAAATCCCCGGTCAAGCCATTCAGGCCCATGAGTCCCGTGTCACAACCACAGACAACATTTGCGCCATTTGCAAGTTCCAATGTTACTGAAGCAAGGAACGAAAGAAAAAAAAGAAAAGAAAAAGAAAAAGATACCCAGCGGATCCCTGCCTTTTTCCCGCCCAATGGTCTCGACCCTCAAACAAATATCGCGTGACTCCCAAAATATTGCGTGGTCTCGTCAGTCCGCCGAAGCGCGCACACGTAATCGTACAGTACAACAGCCGCGCAAATAGCGTAATAATACAGTAGAGAAAATAAAGGAAGTGCTCAATCGTGGAACAAAAGAAAAATCAAGAGACAAAAGAAAAGGGATCGACTCGGGTTCATGATCGAACAAGGAAATCAGCGGACGAACTCGGTCCACACAGTGGTGAGCCAACCGGTTGGGGAACTCTCCGGAGCAACAGTGGCCGGGAGCTGGTCGTACTCACACCCCTCCAGGAACGCGAGCACATCATCCCCGCCCAGGCTGGTGGACCACAAGCTGTTCGTGTTGACGACATCCAGTCCATCCACTGTCACGGGCGGGGATGCGCCAGGATGACCCACGGAGCCAGGAGGAGGCAACAACGGCAAGGCGTGTGACGGGGCTGCCGCGTTGATTGGGGGTAGTGATTGGGTATAGGGAGGGGGTGGTTGTGTGCGGTTAAGCCACGAGTTCAATGGCTGCAACCGGTTGGAAGCAGCTCCGGGGCCGTTGTACTGCGATGATGTCGGAGTTGACGTGGAAGGAGGAACCCCATATGGTCCAGGCGGTCCTAGCGAGGGAAGGTTGGGGGACGACGAGTTGTACAACGGGCCATCCGGGTGGTGTTGCAGCGATGGTAGAGAAAAAGGTGACTGCGACTGCAAGGTGCGGTTGGGGGGTAGTGGAAGACTGGGCCGCCGTTCGCCGTCGGGTCCGGGCAGCGGCATCCCCGGGCTGTTGATGGGGACCCAAGACTCACGTCTTCCTCCGGCGCCATCCAAAGGAGGCTCTCCGAGATCTCCCGTCTCGCTGCGGACGGCATTACTGCCTGCGTCGCTTAGGATCGTCGCCCGTTCACTCGCAGCAGCAAAGCCGTCCTCATCCGCGCCAGGTTCGGGCAGCTGGTCCTCGATGATACCAAAATCGAGGAACAGCTTCTCCAGAAGCTTGAATTCCTCGAGCCCGCCTCCCGGCCCGCCCTCGCGGATCGGACGGACTCCATTGACGTGAGAGTCGGATTGGTCAGTGGGGTCCGATTTGCGCGAATGTCGGCGAAAATCGCGTTTGACTTTGGAGAAATAACTGTGCAGCCGATTCAAGGTGCGGAACCAGCCACGCGCCATCTTGAGTCGAGGTCGCATCTCCCGCAGAACGTCAAGTGCTTTGCGGGCTTGAGCTTGGCCCTGCAGGTTGCGATCACCGGCATTCTTGGGGCCCAACACTCCATCCGGATCCATGTGTGGGAAATGAACAGCGTAGATGCCGATGAAAACCGCGTTATACACGGCAAACCCCACGAGAGGATTTTCTACCAGCACTCCTCGGTCCTGACAAGTCACAACCAAGTCCATCATTTGCCGAGCAGCATTGAACAGCACCCGAGCACTTTCACGCCAAAATCCCTCGGCAAGACCTGCTTTTTCCATTGGAAAGAGCGGCTCGTCTAGTGGCCCGACCGGCTCGGTGCATCGTACGGGAAGAAAAGGGATATAGGCACGGTGTAGAACAATCACCGACAGGAAGTGAACCACGTGCATGACAGTGTAAGGAGCAAGGGTGTTGTTTTTGTACATGATGTGGGTGTCAGTGTTGCGGGGGGAGTATTGCAGGTTGCGGGACAGTCCGTCCTGGAACTCGCTCAGCATCGCTCGCAGCTTTGCAAAGCGTGATTCAGGATGCCACGGGGGCCATTGTTCGGTTCTACTACGGGTCAGATGATGCCAATTCCGGGGTGAACAGTCGACAAACCTTCTTCCGCCAGCACACGACCATTTGGCGATACTGCCCCAGATGCGGATTATACGGATAATCCGACTGTGGACGGACTCTTCGGCACCGATCTCCCAACGATCGATCTCATCCTCACTGGAGTCCTTTCGGCGGGAGATGGGTGACCAGGCTTTGGTATCCCCCGGGCCTGCGCTGGGCATGCGGTCGTCTCCCAGGCCGCCTAAGCTTTGCCGAATGCTCGGGATCTGGACCCCCTGAGCACCAAAGCTTGTAGGACGACGTACAGCGGGCTCACTTAAGCGTGACGTCCGTACACGCTCTCCGAAGGCAAATGCATTGTCACTGGGAAGCTGGATGGCCAGCTCCTTCACTCGAATCATGCGCGGTCGGTACTTTCCGCTGCTCAGACATCGGTCGAGAATGAAGCAAGCCCAGAAAGTGCGACGCTTCGTCTCTTGAGCGATGATATCGTCGGATGTTTGCTCCCGTTGTTCGGGAGGACGTCTCGAGAGCCCGAACAGATCGGCTTCCGTTTTGAGGACGGGTGACCGGGGCCCTTCACGAAACGGCATCTCATTCTCCAGCTCGAACGGCAGACCCATTGCCTGAGAGAGCCGAATAGCCATCCCCACGTATAACCAAGCACTCCGACCACGACACATTCCCCACTCATGCAAAGCCAGCATCAGCAAAGCCTGTACGCGCGTCAGGTCGGGCACAGCCAGACTAGCGCCGTCGACACCGGCCAGCCGGCTGCGTAACGCTGTCGCATAGTATTCGGAGGCGACGAGGGGGTTGGAAGGATTCCCCGGTGACGATGGGGAGTGGTAGGCGACAAGTTGAGGATGGAAGCGGGCCGTGAGAGCAAGAACCCCGAGGGGGATGAGCGGATTGAGGTCTGCCTTGGCTGCGGGAGGACTTTGGGCGGAATCGTGTGTCGCCTCGGAATTGTTCGCGGGTGGGGGATGGGACATATTGGTGGAAAGCTGACGCGCTTGCCCGATGAAGGAGGCGGGATGTACGAACGGCAACATGGTGGCGAAGTGGGATTGGAACAGGTCGAAGACGGCATCCCACACTTTGTTGGTCAAGATGTTTGCATCGAGGACGTCCGCGCCGAGCTTAGACGCATCTTTAGCAGCGGACGAGGAGAGACCAACCGTCTTGCGCGAGCGTTGTCGCTTGGGGCTGTCCCAATCCCCGTTGCGCTCTTCGCCCTCCGCCAGGGCGGCGAGGTCCCGTTTCGCGGCACCACCGCCCATACCGATTGCGGGGGCGGGATATACACATTCTCGACCAGAAGACTCACACGCGCGGCAGGTTGTGTCAATGCCAGCGTTCACACATTTTATCTTGCTCCGCCGACAGCGGGCACAGGCAATACTAGATCGCATTCTGATGAAGAGGGTGGACACGAGAGACGGGTAGCCCGTCTCTCTGATAGGATGTTAAGAAAGAAAAGGACAGAGGAGGGAGGGGGGCAGCGATGGAGGGTGAGAAGGGTGGGAAGGAGAGGGACGACAGCCCCAAGGGCCTGCGGGCACCAAGTGTGAGTAGGTAGCAGTAGTAGTGGTGGTGGTGGTAGTTTGTGTCTCCGCAGGTTGCTACAGTTCCCGTCCGCCGTATTTCTCCGGTCAATTTTCCCCGGGATTCCGAGCCAGACGCCAGACGGTCTGGGTTGCAAGGGGGGACAACAGTGATGCCCGGCCTTTTCACGGGCTGTTGTTCATTGTTCACCGTCAGTACCACAACCCGGTTTTGAAGAAGGGGGGAGGGGGAGGAGTTCAGGGATCCACCGATGATGTCCATGACGGCAAGTGCACTTACAGGTGATTTGAAGGATGATTATTGGCGCCGGATCTCCGCGTTTCCTATGCCGGTAGCCACGCAAGGGGAGTCAGATCTGTAGTCGGGGAGCAGCCCGGTAAGTCGGGGAGTTGATAGGGGAGTATGGTTTTGCGATTTCGGTGCGGAGGTGTCTGCGACACAGACAATGCGATGGTAGGGAGGAGGGAAGAATGAAAGTGAAGAAAAAGAACAGCAGGGCAGTCAGAGTGGAGAGGACGTGGGATGAGTACAAGAAGGAACAGGGTCACGGTAAGTAGCAGACGGCCGGGGAACGGGAAAACGGAAACCGAATGCGATGGGCGCGAGAGATTGGGGGCACACGAGGAATTAAAATAAATCCCCCGATGTAAGCAGAGTGTGCGACTGGGGGAGAATGAGTGGAGGATTTGGGGGGGGTGGAGGAGATGGAAAAAAGGAAGAATCCAGATGGAGTCTGGTCGGGTAAGAAAGGGAGGGTTCGGCGAAGCTAGTACGGAGTCGTAGTTTGTGTGGGTGTGGGGAGAGAATGTGAGAGGGTGAGGAAATTGGATGGGGAAGGACAAGAGAGAGAAGGAAGTAAGTAAGTAGGTCAGTAGGTAAGTAAAGTAGATAGAACCATTGAAATGGTAAAGGAAAAATCCCAATCAATCCAATAAAATAGAAAAAATGAATAAAAATAATCAGGATCATAAATAAACTAACCGTAAAGACGGAATACGCGGAGTGTGGGGGAAGAGCCCGACGAGAGAGAGAAAGTCGCCCAGGGTCGAGTCGGGGCTCCGGTCCGGCAAGACGCGCGCGTGGAGAGTTGCGCAGGGGACACACGGGTCTGTCTGTCTGAGTTGGGTAGTCTGGTCTGGTCTGGTCGGTGGTCGGGTAGAGCAGGGGAATAAGGAAAGGGAAGCTTGACGATAGATGGAGAAATTATTTTAGTTCGTTTTTGGTAAAGGTGGATAATGGAAGGTGGATGGTGAACGGACAATGAAAGAGAAGAAGAAGAACAACTCCGGCCGAGGAAATCTATGATTGAATCATGGATGTTTAGTGAGTAGTCAATCCGCAATCCGCATTTGCGGAGGTCCGACATGAGTTAGTCCGAAGCGGGTCTAGTGCGGCCTGAGGATGCAAGGACGCGACCGAGCGGCCGGAGAGAAGAAAGAGAATTTGACTGTGGAGCAGAGATTCCGAGTGCCGAGATGGGAATGAAAAAAGATATACTACTACTACGGTACAAAAGAGAGTAGAGAGAAGAAGAAAGAAAGAAAGAAAGAAAGAAGTAATCAATTTCAAGTTAGCATACAGACAGACCGTACCTGACTGACTCTATATACTTTGAACACAGCCGACAATCATCTCTGCATGGACAGTTGTTGGGGAGAGGGAAAAAAAAGAAAAGAAAAGAAAAGAAACAATAACTACCTAGTAGAGAGAGAGAGAGAGAGAGAGAGAGAGAGAGAGGGATCAGGGAAGAGTTCCGAGTCGGGTAAATTACCTACCCTCCCTACCCTCCCCTACCAGGTAGCCAGTCACTTGCACTGGTCATTACACTGGGTAATCAATCATACCTCCTAGGTACAATACACGGTCTCGGGTGCCAGTTGGCGGCGACAGCCGATGATTGCTTCGGTATGTTGGCTGGGCCATGCCGTTAGATGGATGATATTGTCTGTGTTCTCCCACACTATTCAGGTACCAAGGCAATCATGGTGGATGATGGTGGATGATGGTGGATGGATCACAAAGATCGTCAGGTAAACGAACTCATTTTGTCGTCATCATCATTCCCCGACGCGACTTTGCAGACTTGAGTTCACTCCTGATCTGATCTGGTCTGATCTGGTCTGGTACCGACCGACCGACCGATGATGGAGGGATTGGATTAGACAGGATGCCGGTTAGCAGCAGCCGCGTGTGGAACGTCACTTGACCGCCATCTGGCCCATTCCATTACCTAACCTGCCTTCCCAGCAAATCCCCCATCCCCTCCAGTCTTGCTCCCGGCTTTTTGTCGTCGATCGATGTCAGTCCCCGATGATGATCTGGAGGACATTGATGGGTCAGCCAGGGTCATAGCTAGCATAGCGTCAATAGCTCAAGGTCTCTTGCATGCAATCGCTTATTGACAAACGGGGGTTGCGAGATGCACGACAATCCAGACAATCAACAAATATCATCAACCAACTCCCACACCCCTCATCAAAACCGTTACAAAGAATCCGGGGATTGCATGACGCGAACCCCCAAAAAGACAATACCGCCGACCCGGTGGCCGCAGGCTCTTCCTCCGCCATTCATTCATTCATTCATTCATTCATTCATCTATCCGTTCAATCATTCCTTCCGTTCCATGTCTACTATAACAACGACCCCTACCATCCACCCATCCACCATTTATCCAACACACGGCCTGACCATACTGCTGCTGCTGCTGCCGCCGCCGCTGCTGCTAAACCACCAGTGACAGTCCACCAACTAACCCAGCCACAGTACCCCGGAATGCAACTTGAAGTCTAAACTCAACCCCAACCCCGGAGGAGCAAGTGACACGGGTCAACCCCCGGTCAAGCCAACGGGACGGCGAACGCTAGAAGACGGAGAAATAAGAACGACAAGGAGGGGCAAAAAGCAACGGCAACTGATTCTCAGCCGACCACTTTCGCGATGAACCTCGGGTATCGACACATCTGATGGGCCGGCCAAGAAGCTCAGGGCTGACACGACCAGACCTTTTCTTCTTTTTCGATTTTCGTTTTCGTGCCCCAGATCTCGTTCGCCTCGTCGCGGAGGCGATTCTTTCCTCGGGTGTCTCTTTTCCCCCTGCATCGGATCTCCCCGCGGGGGAGCAGTGAGATGAGATCAGGATCAGCACCCCCTTCGCCAGGCGGTCACTGGGCCGGACATCTTCTGCAGCACAAGCTCTCCCTCCTTGTTCTTTCGACTTGAGTATCGTCGACCGGACTGAATTGAACGGAAAACCGTATGTTACCCTGGACGGGATTGGTTGCCACCAGGGATATGGTACCCGATCGACACGATCCCGGAGACTCCTACTCGCTGACATTCAAGCCTCAAAGGGCCTGTGCAGCCCGGTGGCCATGGTCCCTAGTTGGTTATGCCCCCTTGGTTATGCACCCCCAGTCCGGTTCTTTTAAAGTGATTCCATCGTAGGATGCTACCCTTCCCTTTTAGGAGGACATCTTTTGTACCTTGCTTGTACTTTGACTACCACCCTACCTAGTACCACTTAACATGTTCCTAAGCCGACCGATCGGAGCCAACCCGGCAAGTCCCCGCGCCCACTGCATTTAACCGGTTATCCCGTGGCCGCTGAGTCGGGCCAACCGGGGATGCTGATTGGTCTCCACCGCCACCCGAGGCATCAAGCGACCCGACCCCGCAATCACGGAGAAAGGCTGAGAAGCAACAGTCGACTTATTCATTAGTCATTCCTGAATCCTCATGCCCTGACTGGGGCAATCAACGCGCGACTGCAGGACAATTTCCCCCATTTTCCCCAACTCTCCCACCTCTCCCAACTCTTCCCCCCCCGGAGGTCGACCGATGTGACGACGGTGTGCCCTATTCCCCGTCTAGAAGGGAGACACTAAGACTGAGGAAGGAAGGTCCCTTTAGCACTAAGCCACCAACATGGTGACATGGTCCTCAACCTGCTGATGTTCTTTCTGCTTGCAGTAAGTTCACCCGCCGCCTGTCAACCCGTTTGGTTGCTGGCTCGGGAACCTGACGACGAGACCTTACCGTGGATGGGATGAGAAGACGCTGGTCGGCAAACCAGCATGAATGAATACACCACCACCACCACAATCAATTCCTTACCCTAGAAAAGGTCTTCGGCAGAGCATCACATGCGCCTGCGAATACGGAGGACGAGCTCTCCTGGTCTGCATACCACCCGAGGATCATCATCCTGACACCTCCTTAATCAGACAGTCACTTCTTCTTTCTCGTTCCGACTGGATTTGAACCCGTACCAGGGGAAAGCGAATCAATCACACGGGAAATGAAAAAATGTGGGAAAACAGAATCAAGTTAAAAAAAAAATAAAAAATAAAAAATAAAAAAATAAAAAACCTCTATGATCCCATGACCTGGCCCCAAGACAAACCCAGCCAAGCCGTGCCCAGCCAACCACCACGCGACTCCCTCTCCACTCCGCCCAGTCTTACATCTTCTTCCATCTTCTTACTCCAAGCAACAAGTTGAACAAGCCCTCTTCCTATCCCGCTTTCGTCATGGTTCGGCTTTTCTCCCCCAGGCGGGCCCCCCGAATCGGCCAGGCCCGCCAGTCGACAATGGCCGCTTGACGATTCGCCCGCCCGTCCCATGCCACGAGCCAAACTAGGCCTGAACCAGGCTAGCCGCCTCCCGACCAAAGCTCGCCAGGCTTGATCTGTCGGGCCTGAGGCAGCCCAACACCACCGCACCACTGATTCTTCTCCGGCTGCTTCGGGGAAAGGTGGGGAGCGTCTGGGCAGTGGGCAGTGGGCACAACTCTTTTCCGGGGCCGCATTTATCCTTCCATTTCCTCTTCCTCCCCCCCCCCCCCCAAACGGATAATTACAGCTTATGAGTAGAGCTTGTCAAGATTATGGTCTATCCAAGCTAAACTAGTAGTATGCATTCAGAAGTAGAAGATCATCACTAAGGCCCATGATTATAAGCTGAGAAGGACGTGTGCATGTTGAGAGGCATGCAGAGCCAACTTGTTTATTCGCGGGAGTCGGATACGCCAACCCGATAAGACGCCGGGACGGTCGTTGCCTGAGGTTGTACCTCTTGCCTCGAGGTTTGAGCAGCTGCCCATGCCTAGATAGTCAGGCGCCTCAGGCCACTAGTCTCTCTTATCACCGATGGCTCCATAGGGCACGACTGATAGATAAAACACGAGAACAGCCCCTCTATATAACCGAGAAATGATGGTTAATTCATCCTTACGCATGCGTCTCTCTGCAAGCGAACCCCGTCTTACCACAACAAAAAGCACTCCACGTCTCCTTCACTGTAACTGTGTTACAAGCGTAGCTGATGATTCCCCCCTAGTAGCACTGGCTGCAACGACAGATATAAAAAAGGAGCCCTATCACTCTGGAGACCCTTCTGGAGCGGTGTTTGTCCTTGAGCAACAGAAAGCGCCAGACTGACCCAGATCTTCTGATGTCTTCGCTTCTTGGATAGTGGCAAAGGTGGCCACATATCTCAATCCTCACCAAGTCCATCGCCCGAACGAACATCTCACATCCTGGGATCTTCACCTCAAGGTTCCGGATCTGCAACTACCGGACCATTTTCATGGCCCCTCTTTCGCCTTAACGATTTCAATCGACCACATGAGCAGATGTGTCGGTGGGGTTTGATCCTGGCAGACAATATATGATAATATAAATCCCGCCCATCGCCCGACACACATTCCACATCATCCTGTGTCTTGATCTTCTCAAGCTTCATACCTGTAACCATCAAACTATATCTCCGATCGCTCTGAGCTCCACGACGGCGATGGCAGCATTATCGGAACTGCCTCCAGAGGCCTCCTCTGGCGGATAACATTTCTGACGATTCTAACCCCGCCTCGTCGACCCACGAATTCGCTGGCCTTCTTGTGCTACACGATTCCTGTACTCGACTACCCAATCGGACTGTTATTCTTCCTCTCTAATTCATACTGCACTGGTGGTGATTCGACAAATCGATCGCTGGCACTTACCAGCGCATCCGACCCAAGCCACACCACTCTCTCACCAGTCTGACGGTTCCCGTTATCTCGCTTGTCCTTTCAAGTTTAGCAGCCTTGGTCCACTGCCACTGAGTTACTCTCCCCTACGGTGTCTTGCCTGTGAGATCATGATGAAACAGGGTGGCTAGGCCCGGCAACGATGATGGGTCTCAGCCACCGCCAGCACCACCGACCGCGACCTTTGGACGGGAACTCATCATCACGAAGAAACGATGTCAGTGCAAGAGATCATCTCCGGGGATTGGGCAGAGCGCGGGGATGAGCGGTGTACCCCGTACGCCAATCCCTGAGGAGAGCTTGCTGGTCCGTGTTTCATCGCAACCAGGAACATCCCCGTCATGGTACAGAGCCGAGGGGGCTGCCGATTTGTGGCTGGCAGTAAGATCTTCTCTTAGCGTCCCGCAAGATAAGCAAAATCCCAGCTCTCATTCTCATCGCTCGAGGCATCAGTGTGAGCATGAAGCAAAACTCGGGACTCTAGCCATCTTTTTGATGTACTACTTGTCATCAGCGGTTACCTCCTTTCCAGCTCCGACATGGACGAAAGGGCCGATGGATTCTCTTTTGGAAGACGCTCAGCGACGCAATCTGGTGCGGTCTCTGCCGCGTATTTTGGCTTCAGTCTGGTCACACTCGAACTGAAACTTGACTTCTCTCATGATGCCAACGATGCAGCCACTCAGTCACTCATCAGCAGACAGGAGAGAAGTTGAAGTCCAAAGCTTGGGAGACTGCTGGTTTGCGTCTATCGCTCTATCGCTGGCTGGAGAGTCCATGAGAGATAAATGCCTGACGATGGCCCCGTACTCTTCCGCAACTGCGTTCCTCGGTCCTCTATCTTCTAAACTTTTGTCTTTTTTCCCTGCATCAATCTCCTTACCGGCACCAGCGATTTTTATTTACACTTGTTTATTACGAAATGGCATCAGATCCTGAAGTCGCTGCCAGAGCCGCTGCTGCCATGAAGGACATTGCTAGGAGTTTGATGTTTCATCTCGAGGAAGTCCCTGAAGTACAGGCATTGGAGTTCGCTTTCGTGCGAGACAACCAGGAGGCCGAGTTCATTGTCGAGGTCGGGTTCCCTCTCTCCAGCCTGGTTCTCTCACTCAGCTACCAGAGTATCGCTAATAGACCGCAGCCTCCGATAACCATTATCGTGAGGACCCGGCCAGACGCAGAGTATCTGAAGGCTAAGCTAGAAGCCCGACGCAGCGACGCTTTCAAATTCAACGGCGACGACCTCGAATGGAACTTTCCACTCCCGGCGAAACTTCCTCTGGAACGTGCCATCTGCGTTCCCATCACTGTTCGGGTGTTATATCTGGGCGACGGAAAGCTTGATTTCTCCGAACCCCCGGAAAGTAGAATGATAACGATCCAGCGGCTTCGAGATGAACAGCTTGAACAGAACCAAAGAGGCCCTTTTGATGTACCCATCCTCGACGCGTTGCCCGCGCAGACAGTCCCCCAGGTGACTCCGGAATCTACAGCGGAAACAGCCTCAGGCATCGGACAATCAGGTACCGAGGAGGAGGAGGGGCAGTGGGAGGGAGAGTTCAGGGCTGTCTTGCCAATGGTTGAGAGGTGGTGGGCATCTTTTTTGGAATTTTGTTTGAGACATGCCTGTCCCAGTGACGATTAAGCCAGCCAGTCTCCATGCTGCTGTAGTTCTTTCTTATGGCCATGTGCTAAGGTTTTAGAATGACATTACTTGGGGGTACAATTATTCTCTAATCTGTCTGAGAAGGAAGTCAATTGACTCTATATAAACTTGCTCGCTCGTCTCTACTCCTCCGTGTTGCGGGCGCATGAGCGGATGGTAGGCGGCGGGGCGGACGAGAACGGGGACCAGGGATCCGCGCGGATTCCTTTACGCCACATGCACTTCACGAGCCGCTCTTCCTCCTCCTCCGGGGTGTGTGGCGCGGGGAAATATTCACCAAGGATGGGGTGGTCGCTCAGTTTCACAGCCTCGCGGAGGGCCAGGACTTTCTTCAAAGGGCGGGGCGGGAAGAAGCCGGCATCCTTCAGGCGCCACGCAAAGGTATTCAGCACCAGAAACGCCTGAGACGCCTTGAAACAGTGGCGTATTGGGAGCCGGGCTCGAGACACGGCGGCTGACGGCGGGCTGGGCAGGGACTGGGTCAGCAACAGGTCTTTGATATACTCTTGGAAGAGGGGGTCAAAGTTCTCCAGCCGGAACCATCGCGGATCCAGCCCGTTCAAGTGCAGGTCCTCCCAGTTCTCCGCGCCCTCGGCTTCCATCTCCTGCTTCTCCTTCCCTTTCTTTTTCTCACCCTGTGCTTCTTCGACTTCGACTCCGTCGGCGGCCGCGATGGCACGGAAGATCGCCCGCAGGGTGGCCACCCATCGACAACGCCCCGCTTTCTGGTAGTGCCAGCCATCGAGCCCTACCTGGAGATACACGTCGCGGAAGCACTGTGCGGTGAGGGCCTCGACCAGACGGGCGGGCCGCAGCATCGGAAAGTCGCAGGCGAGATGACTGTGGCGGACGGTCAGGCGACGGTCACTCGACCACAGATAGTTGGGGTCATGGGAATTGAGATCTTGAGTCAGGGCGGGCAAGGGCAGCGTGGGGAACAAGTCCTCGTGATGGAAGATACGCAGATCTTCATGGGGCGTGTGGTACTCGGAGCGGCGCACTTCATACACCATATGGAAGACATGAGCGGGCAAGTAATCCACGGGGGACTCATCGCGGGTGCGCAGGGTGGCGAGGTATTCACAGCCCCAGGCCTCTGATTTTACATACTGGGGACAGCGGTCTTGCCAACGGCGCGGGAGCCGCTGCAGCTGGGAGTCCCGGCGGCCGTATTCCTTCAAGGCCTTGACGGCGGCCGCATGCTGGCCCCGGGCAATGACCAGGTCGATGGTCCGGATGCTATGGGTCGTGCAGCCGAGCAGGCGCCACATGCAATCGCCCATCACATGGCTGGCAATCCCCTGCTGGGCAAGCAGCTGCGTAACCGGGGCGATCTGCTCAACAGCATACAAGCCCACCCAACATGGCTTCAGGGGCTCTAGGTTCCCCGCCGGCACAGCCTCAGACCGACTCTCCTCCTGCTCCTCCTCTGGCTTCCACGAGGGCCGAAGCCAACCATTATACGGGCCCCAGACATAGACCAACTCGTCCAACGACGGATCCGATTTCCTCGCCATCTTCTTGGGGTTGTTTGCGATTGTGGCTGTTGAGTGAGATTCGAGAATGACTCTTAACCAGTCTTGGGTGCCGCTATTGAGTTTGTTTGGTATCTCGACTGAGTCGTGGGTACGTCCGGGGGGAGTATTTATATCCATCCCGGGATGCGTTCTGCCACTGATGATGCGGGAGAGAGTCAGACAAAGGACCAGACAGACAGAAAGAATTGACTGATGCACTCGAGAAAATCCCCAGCTATGCGTTGATTCATGTCTAGGATTCTTAATTTTCAACTGGAGGACAATGACGTTACGGCTTTGTTCATTCCAGGTTCATTCATGAATATTGCGCTGATTCTATCATTGCTTTGTTGCATGAGTGTCTGCTTTATTTGGTTTAAGGATTGAGGGGCTGGGAAGGTGAAAGAAAGGGGGGTCCGGGGGTTCTCCCCCGGGACGCTTACCTCTGGTTATAGGACTGTGGTGCCTGGGAAGCTGAAAGAAAGAGGAGCCCGGGGGTTCTCACCCGGGACGCTTACCTCTGGTCTTAAGGACGGAGGGGTGGACTTCTCTTGGGAAGGGGTGATATACTGTCGAGCGATAGCAATGGCTGCAATGTCTGCAACAGTGTGAACCAGCTCTCCATTCACTCAGCCATTATCCGTTTAGGGCTCAGTGCCCCTGATCAGGCCTACGTCTACGTCTTGGTTGCATTTATCGCAATCGCACGACATTCATGATTAATGGCGCACCTGGCGCTCTCAATTGAAGACGAGACAAGCCCGCTAAAACATTTCCAAGGTAAGACGACGAAGAACCCATCCGGGATACGCCAGTAGCCGTGGATCCGCACAACGCCAATCCCCGCGCGCAACATTTAGAAATCATGAGGTGTGATTTACGTGAGTGAAAGGTGCGGCGACGTTCACTGCCGACCTCGTGTCCCCCCAAACGAGAAGAACGAGCCCCATCCGCGGGGCGCCGCGGTCAGCTCAGAAGTGTCGGGCTTCTCGAACTCGCCACTTCTCTCCAGGTCATGCTGCGTTCGCGACCCGGAAAAGGCTTCGGGGCTGGTCGGGATGTCGACCCGTTGCAGTTGGCTTGTCGGGGTCTTGACCGTCGAGGCCCGCTCGAGGTCCGGAGTGACTCGGTCGGTCGAGGAGAGCGCCTCGCGCGTCTGCCAGCGCCGTTTCTTGAAGACGATGAAGATGGTTGTGAAGGATACTGGACGGGGTGGTGAGTGTGGGTTTACTTGAGAGGGGTGTTGGTGGTGTTCTTGCATACTTCCAATGATGATGACCAGGGCGACTATCGTGCACAGGATGATCATGCCCTTGGAAGAGATACTCTTTGGTTCGGAGCCGTCGTTCTTTTGTTCCCCGTCCACATTTTCGAGCACGCTCTGCGCGAAGGCTTGTGCGATCAGCGCTGCGACCACGGGCGCCAGGTATAGCCGCCTTGACAACATGGCAATGTGTGTGTGTGTGTGTGTGTGTGTGTGTGTGTGTGTGTGTGTGTGTGTTTATGTACGGGAGTTTATTGACGATCGGACGGACAAGGTGGTGGGAGATCTTGATCTGCGCGCGCACATTGTGTGACTTCGAGAGTCTGGGTGGGAGAGGAATGTCAGTAGTCGGTGGGGGTGGGAGAGGCGGGGAAGATTATGAAGAGCGGCTGCGGCCGGGCATGCTTTGGTTCATCGTCTTCAGCACATTCACCATCTCGGGGTTGTTGTTTCGGGAAGAAGAGTCGACAGGCTGTGATTCGTGGATGGCAGTCGTGATAGGCAGAGAAGACCTCTGTGATGACGGAGAGTCGTCAGCTGCGTTCATACAACTAGCAGAAGGCGTGTTTCAATTCTCTTGGGCGTGAAACGCGGGAGCAAATCAGCGGCGGAATGCGCTCGGAGGGATGAAGGGTCGGCGTTAGGCGTGGGCCAATGGTTCCGCTTGGTCGGGCCGTTGCCGCCGAGCTTAACCGGGGTTGTCCGTTGGCTTAAGCGCCGTCTAGTCTACTACAGTACTAACTATACAACATACCATGGAACTAAGATTAGCATCCAGGATTGCTTGACGGCCACAAATAGATTGCATGTCTTACATGTCTCGCTTGTTCTGTGACAGGCATGAAGAACCTTCGATCCTGCAGAACACAGAAGCAAATCGTGCATAATCCGCTCATTGTTGCGGAAAGATGGCATTGATGATTGTTCACAACTTCAATCCTCACAGCAATTAGTCCCAGAGCCAGTTGCTGCAATTGATCTTGCTCCAGCAATGAACCTGTCTATTGCAGGAAGGCAGGGAGGCACTCACCTGTACCGGCCTCAGGTGCAGTGTCATGTCTGAAGTGCCAAAAAAGGAAGGCACCCCTCGACCCCGCGGCCTGGATGGTCACGGGCTGAGAATCCTCGCCAGAACTCAGCTTCAGAATTACCAGCCTACCACTATCTTAGCTGGTGCATATCGCACTCTGTATCCTGATTTCGTCCACTCGCTTTCTTTCTCATCCTTTGTGCTCACTTCTGGGTCACTGCTAGGCGAGCACTAGCCCGAAAGCTACGTCAACATGCCGACTAGCGAGGTGCCAGCGATGGCCAACGAGACACCCCCCAACCCAACGATCGCAACGACCGACTCCGATGCCACTTTTGATGAGGTAGAGGAGCTGCTCTTGCTGCAGATGTCCGTGGCCAACGATGAGCCTCTTTCCCCACAGCTGCGAGCTGTAATGGCCACGCAGGACACGACTGCACCGAAGGACGATCCTCGAGAGAGCCGCCCATCGCCCTTACTCATGGAGCGACCCAGAAGTTCTGGCATCGATCTGTCTTCCTTCTCCTTTGCAAAGCCAATGCAAGGCCGTCAGCCTTTTTCCCTTCAGGCATCAGCAACGCCATCCTCGTCCACGGCTACCTTGCACAAAGCTACTCCAAACGAGCATAAAGCGGCCGACCCATTGAGTGAGGCCGGAAGGGGCTCACCAAGGTGTGTTGCACTCAGGAGCCATGCATGTGTACACTGAATATACTGACTCAATGTTTTCTCTGATATAGAAATCAGGTTAGACCAGACATCCAGGCTTCTTCAAGTGGGATCCTACACAAGTCAAAACAGAAATGTACACGGCCTTCTATTATGCCTTGTGGACATGACCCTAATGGTTCAATTATTGAAGCCAACGCTGTACCCGATGCAGACCATTTGCCTACGAACAGCGTCGGACAAGGCGGCCCCCCTTTCGAAACCTCGGGTGAGTAGCTCCGACTACTGGGTACAATATCTCTGATACCAGTCGCAGAGAGAGATAACGAGGCACGGAAGACAGCTAGCCTGCCAAACCACGAGCGAGTCTCGCGGGCGTCGATACTTAGCAAGACTGAGGGTTGTGAACCATCCTCTGGTGACAGGCTCGACGGACCCGACAAAGTCCATGCGATACAGAATCTGATCCCTCAGAAGCAACTTCCAGAAGGCACTCCGATGGCTCAACTACATCGGGTGGAGCCTGAAAGTGGAAGGCTTAGAGTCTCTAAGCGCCGTCGCTCCAGCAAAGGTCAACACCCACGCAATGTCAGGCCGTCACATGCACCATCAGAAGATAATGTCTCATCCCTGTCAGAAGAGCATCTGTTTCAGTTGTTGAACGGCCGCATCAGGGATCGCGAAGAGAATGAGGTTGCCGCCGTCGAAATGAAACAACAATTGGAGGCTAGCATCTCTGGCCTGACGGAGGAGAACCAGGCGCTGAAGAGCCAGCTTGAGATATCCGATAAGCTTATCCGGAGAAGGAATTCCGAGATGCGAGCTTACAAGACTCAAATTGATGCTTGGAAGTCAAAGCTATCGAGCATCAAAAGCTTCCTCAATCAGCTGGGTTCCGACTTCCAGACCCTCCGCGGTGATGCGAGCCGACTCCTAGCGGCGAAGAAAAGCGCTGAAAATGAGAGATCTGACATCGATTCGAACATCAGTGATGTCAGGGCTCAAGTAGCGAGAGTTTCAGAGACTGCCAATAAGGGACGAGTGCAGGTTTTGCGCTCGGAGAATCAGATTGACTTGCTGAAACAGGCCCTCTCCACAACCGAAGAGAAGACCAGATACGTTCTGGGACAGCTTGCCGATGAGAAGAAGAGGACTAGGCTTCTCGAGTTGTACATTCAGGAATGTTCTCGTACTCAGGTCTTAAAGCTTGGTCAAATCAGAGCTGATCAGCAGGGGATCCTAAGACGATTTGAGACCGTATTCCAGACCATGAGTGATCAGGAGAAGACCGCCCAAAGTGCTATCGAGAAACTGATCGGTCCTAGCCTGAACAAATGCGTCTCAACACTTGATAGTCTGTGCAACAAGGTCTCGGAAAGTGATACGAGCGGGAAGGAATGCTTTGATGGGTTTCGAGCTGATATAGCACGGTGCGCTCCGAAATTATGGTCATGTAAACTGAATGCTAACCATAACTCGATAGAATGGAAAGCGAATTGACTCAATTGCACAGCTTAATCAACGAAAATCGTGCAAAAGATGCAAGCTGTATGATGGATCTTAACCAGCAACTTCTGAGTGCCACAAATCAGATTGCGGACAACTCAAACCTGGTTGAGCGAATCTCTACAAGCGCGGAACATCTTGACTGTTTGCAAGAAGCCCTTGGGCGCTTGGTACCATTGACCGAGACACTCAATTGTTCTGTCGACGCATTGAAAGACAACGAAGCTAGACTTTTCGACCAGATGACGCATCTCGAGGCAGACCTGACTGAGACGCGGATCCTCAAGAACGCCGAAGCCGCAGCGCTTGAATCCACGCGACATGAGTTAGAGAAGATCCAGCTGAAGACCAAGATGCAGAGAATAACGGCGGAGTCAGAAGAGATGACAGAGAGTCTAAGAGCCAAAGATCTCGAGAACAAAGCCATTCAAGCCTCGCTGCTCGAGGCCGAATCGAAAACCCAAGAGGCACAATCCCGCGTTAGCCAACTTGAATCGAACATTGCTGCCCTGCGAGACGAGGTCAAAAAGAAGGAGATCCAGGTCCGAGAGGAGTTGAGCCGAGCCAGTATCGTCGCTCGCGAACAAATCAAGGCCAGATACGAGCAGCAGCATCGCGACCTGTTGAAGGACAAGGCGGATCTAGCACAAATGGTGGAATTCGTCACGAAGCAACTCAATGACACAAAGTCAGATCTGGTACAATGGCTTCTCTTGACCGATGATTGTCATGTGTCTAACGTTTCACAGGCTGAATCCAAGAGCTTACGAGACAAGGACCGGGCTGAGCAAAATCTTCTAGTGAGTGGTTTCGGTGACTACGAGGACAACCTCTAATAGTTATAGCTCGAGTCGAAGTCAAAAGAAATCGAGGAGCTGGCCCGCCATCTGTCCGACAGGCTCGCTGAGTTAGCGGAGCAAGAGAAGGAGCTGAAAAGATTGGCGGAACAAGAAGCTTCAGGCCAAGCGCGGCATGCCTCTCTCCTGGCTCAACTCGATGAAGCGAACATAAAGACTACCACACTTGAAGATGACCTTGCTAAGACTCGTGAGGATAGAGACAGAATTGCGACAGAGCTTCAGCATAGGCTCGACGCACTTCTGCAGGCTAATTTAGGGAAACAGGAGGAATGCGTCAAAGTCCAAGAAAAACTCACAGCTGCCCTGATAGAACGAGCGGACCTTGAAAGCAGTAAGCTCAAGACAAAGGATGAAATTTATGGGCTACTCAAGCGAGTCCAAGACTCGGAACTTTGGGTAATCAAGCTGAAAGAGATTTTAAGTCGAGCAGGTCTGGCGATACCTACCGACTCGCTCTCAGAGACATGGGGCAGGCTCGAGACGGTTCTGCTCCCTACAATCAGCAATAGCGCTGAAAGTGAGCGGGAAAGTCATAAGAAATCCGATGAACCGAAGACTGGTAGTACCGGGGGGCTGCCACTTCAGGACAATCTCGACGAAGCTGAGCAGAACGGTTCCAGAGCGAGAAGAATCATTACCACAGTACCTGACAGCCAGGCTACCATTTGTCCTTCACCTGCAAGGCGAAGTGGAAAGACTGACAATGATGAAGCTTCAATAGACTCAATGTGTTTGCTCGAGCCTGGCATTGTCCCATTTTCAAGCATCCAGCAGCACTGCCCTCCCGCCGACTGTTTGTTCACGGAAAGCGAGAGCTATGACCTTGCAGCCATGCTCATTTTCACCCCTGACAAGAGTGCAGTGGCAGGTGGCTCAGTCTTTGCAGCGACGCCGAGCAAGTGCTCCGCAAACCTGTCCACGTGTGAAGGGAAAGACACAGTGGAACAAGACCCGAGTCACTGTGCAGACAAATCTCCAAATGCTGCAGCAGAAAACGACAAGGCGAGCTCGCGCGGAGGCGATAGAGCGCCCACGGTGCTTAAGTCACGCGTATGTGATGAGAAGAATAAGCTCAGTGATAACAGAACAAAGCACAGAACGGTCACATTCGAAAAGGAGAGTCCAGTGTCTCAACGAGGAAAACGCAAGCTATCTAGTATGGAGATTGGCTGCAGCCAAGGTAGCTCGGCAGTAAACGTCGGCGAGGAAAGCTTCATGCGCTCCCGGCGGACATACTCCAAGCAGCAACAAGAATCGAGAAGGATTCAGGAGAAGTCAAGTGGCCCAGCAGCGAGAGCTTCTGCCGGAGACACAGCGCACGACGTCACCGAAGCCGGAACCCCGCGATCTACAATCAACAAGAGGACCAAGGTCTCTTTTGACACCATTAAGACGACATCGCAGACGAAGACAGTCACAGAGTACTTCGATCGCAAGTCGAGTCCTGAGAAGCTTGCGTCTGGAAGCAGCAGACCAGCGCTGAGTGACAGTCAACCTGGATTCCAGAAAAAAACCTCTCGAGGTGGCAGAGGCAGCGGGAGAAGATCTCGAGGTGAGTGAACTCCGTAGATCGGTGGAACATTCATCGCTGAAGTGATAAGGTGCTCGGTACAACGCTCGTTTCAGTTCGGGGAAGTAAGCCTCGGCAGGACGATCGTGATTAAGCTTATTTGGCACGCCGACAATTTGCAATAATCTTGTAATGACCTCGAAACGCCCGTCCAATTTGTTGTATTATGATGGTTTTTTCATATCCTTATGCAGCATACGTGTATGTTGATGACATGTGCGATCCATATGTGCTTTGAACCTTGCGATTCATGGAAAATGTGTGGAGATTGTTTCCTTGCAGTGGAGATTGCATTGACAGGAATTTGCGATATATTGAACATTGATGACCCAGATTGTACTGCTTTAAAACGCCAGAATGCAACACCAAGAAAAGCAGGCAGCTGCGAAGAATGCAGAGAGAATTCTGAGTGTATCCCCCGGGATCCAACGTAGCCGTTGCGCTGTGTAATATACATATGATCATATCTTCGACATCGGAGGAGTTTGCGACGATGACTGCATCGAATTTGGGGACGATAATTATGGTTTCCCCGTAGATTGCTCAATCCGAACGAAGAGCGAGAATGGCACCGATACATGCATTTTGCCCAGCTTGCGAGGTATATATATAGCTCGAAAGACGCTTCCCGAAAAAGACCACCCCAGCCACCGTCATCGAAGCAATGCGCGAATCACTCACTCAGACCAAGACCGCGCGGGAAAAGAGACGCTCGCGAGCGCCCGGGCCCCCGAAATTTATCGATTCCGACCACCCTTGGTCGCCTCGAGGAAGAGCACCTGCTTCTTGACGACGGGGTCGTACTTGAGCATGCTGAGCGGGCGGTGCGCGCGCGGCCGGACCATTGTGCGGTAGAAACCCGTCATGGCCATCGAGATGAGGCGGACGGTGATGGTACGTGACTTGCCTGGTTATTTTCCGGGTGGGTTAGTTAGTCTTTTGTCTCGGTGCTTTCGTCTTTCTTTCCCGCTTGCTATGGGGGTGTTTGGATTTGGGTTTGGGTTGGATTCCGGGAGGAATGTCGGGTCAACTGTGCGAGGAGATCACGGTAGCACTCACTTTTCTTGGCCATTTTGTACAATAACCGATGATTAGTGTGCTGGTGATCAACAGATTTGGGATGGCTTTTGCGTGCGGAGGTTGCGGCGGAGGTGAGAAAGTTTGGTGGGCGTTGCTGGTTTGCGATGCACGTGACCTTGGCGGTGAGTGAACGGTCGGTGGGTCGGTTTCTTTCTTGATGGGGTTTAGGGCGGTGGAACGGGTCGGATGGTCTGGGTCTTTCTACTAGATAGTTCTTATTTTTTGATCTGGATGGGTTCTTCTTGTTGCCATCAGATTGTGTTCTCCTGTGGCCTCTTTCTCTCAGTGCTTCTTGCTCATCGTCTATGTGATCCTTGAATTGGAGAGAGCGATTGTGCCGTGCATTTGGACTATGAGAGCACGTGGATTGGCTCTGCGGGAGGATCTAAACCTTTTTGAGTCGTGATCGGGAGACTCTTCTGCAGACGATCTATGGGTTAAAATCGTTTGTCTTGTCTTTGCTGAAATGCTATGGATTAGGTAATTCTGCTTGCTGGATCTAGCTCTTTGTGCTTGTCAATGCACCATATCACTCAGCCTCCAGCTGATCGATTCACCGACTTGTCGACTACCACAAGCTTGAAACTGTTGAGCATCAAGTGTCTCTGTCATTCAAGGAGGTTGTTCGCATGAGTCACCTGTCGCCATCCGCATTTCCACGGACGGCAAGTACAGCACCTCTATACGATATACAGTTTTGAAGCTTGAAATTGGGGATAAGGGGGGGCGGTCGGTACTTTGTTTCTCCCCACCACCACAGTATTCCCCATCTTGAATCAGCAATTTGCACTGGGACAATGCCGAAATATAGGGGTCTGAGCACCATCCGATTCAAAGACACAGTGTTTAGATTTCGGCTGGCACATTAGACTTCTCTCGGAATTGTCATGCGACCGTCCCATACGCTATTGGTGCTGTCATCTTTGAGATTTATGCTGGGACACAAGCCACACTTCATCGGACACGGAGGTTTCATGCTATTTCCACGCGATGGACTACCTACTTTGTTTCTATTGGAGCATGCTGGCTATGACTCAAGTGGAAGCTCTGCCAAATTATCCTTGGCTAGGATGGGCGATGCACTCATGGAGGTAGTGGGTTACTAGTTCGGGTTTTACTTATGGACAGGTTTCAATCAAATCAATAAAGGGCATGTGACTGCTCTCTTGATACATTCTCTGAGTAATCTCTCTTCAGAGAGCTTTTTCTTCTTTTTTTTTTTTTGTATTTTTATGGTTTTCTGATGCCGCTAATGAAACAACAAACGCAGAGCCTGCCTGTAGGCAGGCCTCAAGAACCAACGCTCTCAATCTAATATGCTTAAAATGCTATCAAACTGCTCAAAGACATGGAGAAATGCAAGATTGAGGACCAGGGGGGCTCAGCGGTATTATTACGCTGATAGAATAAGAGATTCTCGAGCCCGGCGCCTGGAAACGGGAGGCTTATGAACTGGTCAAAGGCAGGGAGAACCTGCGGTGCAAGACGAAAAACAGGGCCGACATTATGTTAAAGAACGAGAATCACAACTTCACCTCCTGCTTGTAATTGAGCTGCGGCTGCGCATGCAACTGCTTACACAGCTTATAGTGATTAGGCCGTGTCTCAGCTAAAAGATTTAGTAGCCCAGTTTTAATTGCCTTGATCGTGCTAGGACTCAGTCCTCGATCTCCGAACTCATCGATGAAGTCATCGTAACGCTCCGGCTCGAAGACATGCAGCAGATAACGCAAGATATCCTGTGGACTACCGCGTTTAGTTGGGAGGGCAGTTTCCCAGCCCGAAGCCTGCAGCCGCTTGAACGCTCGATCTCTAAGGCCGGTGTCGCCCTTGTGATGCTCAGAGGCTGTCCTATTATCATGATCATTGTCCAGCTCCTTCAGCAGCTCCCACTCCAGCATCTGGCGCTCAAACTGCATGCGTCGGCTAACCAAGAGGTCCACTAAATCCTCTCCCTCGAGTTCCTCGTCCCCGCCTTCCATGAACCGCTCCAACTCAATCCGGCAGCCATCGACGGCACCGGTCGTCGTAACGGGATAAAGCTGCTTTTCCGGCAGGGAGTCCTCGTACTCGCGCACGAGCGCCTTCTGCCGCTTGGTCATGACCTGATAAACGCAGCTCCGGAACTGCGGGCGTCGATGGCCGTCGTCACCCCCGCGACTGTCCTCTCCCTCGACCAGGAACCGCGAAGGAAGGAAAACGGTCGGTTCGTGGGCCCGCGCCTCGCGCTTCACTTGCGCTTGATACCGAGGGCATTCGGGGCTAGCGCAGATCCCATTGAGCCACCGGTGGGTTCCGCAGCAGCGCCGCGAGTTGTCCGGGATCAGCGGCAGCCCTAGGTTCTCCATGCGCGAGTTCAGCACCGCCAGGCATTCCTGGCAGGTCTCGCCGTGGGAGGGCTCCTCGTGCTTGGAGCACCGGGGGAGTTCGATCATCTTCGCTGTGGAAAGGATGTCTCTTTTGGTGGTGATTGTGGTAGATGGGGTGTTGTTCACTTGGTGGATTTCTAGTGGTGTTCTAGAAATTTGAGTATTGTTGGTTGATGGGGATTGAAGGTGGTCTGGGGGGAGGGGGTGGGGGGTGGGGGGTTAGATGCGGCTTTATATAACGTTTGGGAGGACGTTTTATTTTACGCTGGGGTCGTCGTCGGACTGGAACCTTCCGGGTGGTCTTTGTGCTCTGGGGATAAGTTCTCTGGTTGAGGCAGTGCAGTTGAAGGTGTTCCTGGAGAATTACTCTTCGTGAGATTGAATGCGTATGAAGGGGAGATTGTCACGGGAGTTTCGCTATTCTTGTTATGGACTACCGTCTGGGTGATAACAAAGAGATTAAGAGGATATATTCAGTATCTGATTTGTTGGACTAAAGCTGCAGCGTGAGGGCGAGGGTTAGCTTTGTGGATGCGCCTACCCCCACATAATAAGCTAGTATTCACTAATGGAGATTTTATCCTGGCTTTAATGCGGCCGACGCGGGCTTTCAATCCTCCCGATTGCTTATGGAGTGATCCTCTCATCGATCTGTTACGTGTGCTTTCTTCCCTGTCTCGCTAGCGCAGTTTGAACTTTGGAGTTATAGGTAAGCAATCACCACGAGAGACTATTGTATTACCCAGCGCAGGCTTCTCTAAGAAGGAAGCAATGCGCTTGAATCCTCTCCCAACCCTTTTTTTTCTGGGCTGATGGAACACTTGAGCGACCTGAGCTTTGAAATCAGATGGGTTACTATCCCACCCTAACACGCCGGTTCACAGGACGTGTACCTGTTTAGTACCAACGACCGCTTCGGTCTTCTTCATCTCATCGAAAGTCATCGTCGTCGTTGTTGTTAAATTCAGTATCATAATCAAGATATTATCGAAGTCGTTGTCGTCAACGTTCCTATTCATGGGCTCACTGTCGCGAAGACAGCCCATGTTCACCAAGGGAGGACGTATACAACGGAGCCAACGCCTTCGAACGTTATCTTTCCAGCATGTCTGATCAGAAACTTTGTTTGAACTTGGACTGGATCATGGCCTGCACACACAGGATCAGGTTTTCCTGTTTCTGCAAGCGTATCGCGTCAGGATAGCATCCGATCACCAAACAAAATGGAACATTCGTACCAAACCGACTGAATAACCAGGCATGGTTCTTTCTAGCCCAACTCCTTGGATGTTATATCAGCGCCTACATCGTAGCAATACCACTAAAGCCCTCTGTTCTTGTAGGTTCTGGATGGCCCGTGAGACGGTACTCGTATCCGTACTGACGGTTGATATCTTTTAGACAGGAGGCTTTACTCCTCAGGGACTCCAGAGGCGCTCCTTTCTCTCTGGAATCATCTTCGGCGGTGGGATCCGTTACATCGTCTAACCATTTATTTGATATCGAACCCAAAAGCACGCATCCAGACTATCTCGGCGTTTGTCGCTTGACGAAATCGTTCCCAGACCGTCAGGTCTCCCTGTCTCTGCGTGACAAATGCCGTTCCGCTTACCATACACCATTATTGCAAGCTTCGCCATTTCGAGGTCGACATCGAGATTCTGCTGACGTGTCTAGCCAAATACATCCTTCTAGATGTTCGATGGTTGGTTGTTTTTCCTGGTCAGAACCCTTGGTATTTGGCATGCGACGGTCTTTGGACGCAGTCGTAAATGGCGTCGTGCTTGGATCCGGTTGGGCGATTCATAGAGGTTGAAGCTGTATTCGGACAACGGCAGGGTGATGAGATCAAACCGTTGTTCTCAGCGTCCGTCTGCTGTGAGATCAAAATTGCTACCGAGAATGAAAGAGCCGACCTTATCGAGGAGGCAGTGATTGTAAACCGTTGCGCTGCCTGGTATGGTGGAGTTTTCGGAGTACGGGCACCATGCGTCAGTCATGCATAGTTGTCTCCCGGTTGGTTGACAGTTGTCTTTGGGACAGTAAAGCGAGGGACACCGGACAGACAGTCTTGACGGTAGGCATCTTGTGTCGTGGCCTTCGGCAGCTCTCAATAGACAGTTCCACAACCGGCCTGCGTAAGTTTCTGGGCGTGAGAAGACAAGATTGCCGCTTCATTTGCTCGGTTGGAATCACGGTATCAGACCTGTGATGCGGGCACCGCAGATCTCGGGAAACCCGTCCCAGGAACACGGCAAAGCCGGCTGACATTCTACCATCTGTAGGCGTAGTCAGATTGAGTCAGAGTGGATGATTATTGGAATTATCATTCTTGAACGGGAGGCGATGCTACCCGCGCTCTGATGAAGAACGGGATAGACCATGATCGTTGTTCTGGCTTCGTACGTACATATCGTTACTTCAACTGGCTGACTCATACGATAGGCCGACTTTGTGCTGATGGGAATCCTCATCCTTGGAAGGTTCAGTCCAAAAGATGTTTTCCTTGCACGCCGAACCGATGTTCGGGTGCTCGCTACCTCTTACTGATATACTGTTGTATCCGCCGTGATTGCAGCGCATTCTGTTATAGAAGAGGTATGTATCTAGGGCTGGATTCGTGATCAGCTTCGGTCTCAAAAAGAGACTCGGGAAGTCTGCTCGCTTACCTGGAATATTTGTCTTGAGAGGAGGGACGTGAGGTATGAGGATCTTTCGGAGTGTAGGTGCTCAGTGTGTAGTAGGCTTTTCATCAAAAAAATGAGATTGATGTCCAGTGTGGTCTGGGATAATTGGTATTAAGGGGGTCGCAGGACATAGAGTCAGGATTCTCACTAGAGGGATGAGTATGTGCCATCAATAGGTAAGGGAATGAGCTTACTCTTATCGTTTTGATATCCTTGGTCGATAAGTTCACATTCATCACTCACACGACGCAACAATGTGAAGTTGTGATGCATCAGTCCCCAGGCGCTTGGTGTCGCGGAAGTGTACTTTCAAAGGGCAAAGTGTGGTCAAAGGAAGCTCTTGTAGGCCATTCATAGAACCCGACAACGAAACAGCCATGATAACGGTCTGAAAAATGAGAAGTGAAGTTTTTCTTGTACTCCATATTATTTGCGTCTTCATCCATAAGCTTTTTTATTCTTATATCTTTCAGCTTCTTGAGCAAAGTACTTGTAGTCGGTTCGCTCTCAGACGTGCGGCGGTCGCTGACATTTTTGCGCTGGTATAACTGGCCTCCAATGTAGCGGTTAGAAGAGACAGTTTTTCGGCTTCTGTACGAGATTGACGAGCTAAAAAGAACCAGGGAAACCAAGAAGGGAGCAAAGGGCTCAGACCAACCAGCTACCTTAGGCTTGGCTATACCGATATGCTAGGTTCCCCTTCTCGGCAATGACATGCTACCATCTATGGGCAGGAAGAATGATTAGATGAACGATAAGCAGGGCTCGTACAATCTGTACATCTCTTTCCTATGTTGGGGATGCGGGTATGTGCACCCATCCTCAGGGTTTTCATCTGCTGGGCAGTACTTTCGAATAGGGGTTTCCTCGTCGTTCCCTTCCTCGGAAGAACACATGTTCGACCTCCTCTAGACCGCTGATGTCCACATGGTGGTCAGCAGGCAGGTTGCCTCGGCCTCCGAGAACAATGTCCTCAAATAGTTTGGAGAACACAGTGCGAATTCTTTGAGAGGTTGAAGGCATCGTGACGGGGGACTTGATGTGGTATGGAGGAGCTGAGTACAAGAGGATGGTGTTGTATGAGATGGTGTAGACACGTAAAGTCACTCAGCTGATGAGGCGTAGTCATTGAACATTTTACTGCTGAGATCCAGGTGTGGCAGCGCAGCAATACGCGGCCCTTAGCCCGCAGCAAATTGTCGGTACGAGGCGCTGAGCCACGTCCTTCCGATTGTCGGCACATTAATAGCCATTCAGAATTCCCTCCCCATACTCCAGAAATTGCAGTGCACAGGCAGTGCATGCAAAACGCCAAGGTTGGACACACGTGTAAAGCAGAGGCAAGGACAGGACGAGTGTTCTGTTTCTCGGGAGCCATGATGGAAAAACGACGGAAACTCCACCGAAGCAGGAAGGCTATTATGATGTCGCTTTCCCATGAGAATTGTTGTGGCACACGTTCCTGATGAACGTCCTCCACGTTTCTGAGGCGTTGGGGATCCGCACATCCATTGCATTGCTCTTGCGGTAGTTTTCCTCAATGCAAAGCTCCATGAATGCTCAGTAACTGCTCTTTTTAACCAGGCGTCCTCGAAGAGCCAAGCATGACCGGCTTCTTCATCAGATATGATATGAATTGCTTCAGAACTGGTTGCGTTCGGTCGATGAGACCTGACCTTGGCAATGATTACTCGCCTGGCAGCCTCCTCATGGCTTTTTGATATCGAGCAGAGTGGCCAGTCTCGTCTCAAATCCTGACATATCAACTGGAAAGATTGTTGAAGGGTGTCATGGTCCCCAGCTTTATCCAGAGAACCTGCGGATGTCCGCCGGGGCGAAAATATTTAATAACAGCAATGATTATTTTGTCGATTCCCATGCAGCCAAAGACTCGTTTTCTATGCTGACCTCTTTATTGGCAGCCAAGCCACATGATTCTCATCTATAACAAGATCTTAGTTAGCGAATAGTTGCTTCTGATCAGGGATAGACAATTATCCCGGATTTTCAGGTACGGCATATCCAGAGATGGCCACCGCGCTCGGTTTGAGCACGTCCGGTGTCTTTGCGTTTCGAAACCAGTTCCACGTCTCCGCCCCGGATAGCAAGCTTTAGGGTTTTACTCCTTGGATCCTTGTAGATACTCTGGTAGAGATGGTCAGATCAACGAGGCAGAGGCTCATACGCTGAGTGGGGCAGGGTGGGTCTAACCTTGTAAGGAAATCGTTGAGACAGTAAAGAGAAGGATGAAGGAAGAGGAAGAACGAAGTGTAGGAAGAAGGGGTGGGATGGGATTACGATGGCTGTTGTGGATGATGCATAGAATATAGAACTACTATAGATGAATGCCGTTAATAGTGAATGCGGGGAAATTATGCGGGGTGAAGACACAACTCCCAAAAGGGATTAGCTTGTTGGATAGTAAGTATCATTTGTTTGATCCCCCCTTCACTTTCCTTTTCACCTTCACGGTTCATGTCAACAAAGCAATTATTTCCGTCTTCACTCTGCCTACTTTCCTCCACTTGCAGTTGCAATGCCTCCCCCAGCTAGGCGGAGGACTCGTCTTGTTACAGGCTGGTAATTGGCCTCCTTTCCCTGTATAGCCAGCGGTGCAGGTGTGGGTCTATCCACTAACTCTATCCACTAAGTCTTTGTGTCTCTTAAGTCAGTACAATATCTACTTACTAAATACATATCGTATTTTCTCGATTGCAGCTCGGCATTTGAAGTGTGGGTCCATACGCCAACCCATTAGGAGGTGCCATACTTACAAGCCCTTCAGGCGACACCAACGACACCATCGACTGTAGACGAGGCTACAACATTCGATTCTGAAAAGGTCTGGATCTACCCGCGGATAGAGCGACTGCGTTTGCCAAGGAGAGTCTGTGCACGGTTAGTACTCACGAGGCAGACTAACGCAATGTTGGCTAATACAATTCGCACGCCCCAGTTGTTGGAATACAATACTACCATATTGCAAAGATCATTCTGGCATTTGCCAATTATTCGAGTTCTGTCCCCGGTGCAGAGAACTTCAGGCTATCCCGAAATACTGAGGTTCGTCAATCTGGGCAATGCCTATTTCATAGTTCTATGCTCACGACGGTCGGCAGAAAACTGTCAGGCACCACCTCTTCATGGTCCTTGGCTTGGCCAAATCTAACCCCAAAGCTGAGAGCACTCTTTTCACTGCGGTATGTATCGCCTAAGATCATCCACTGGGATTGCTAACAATCACATACAGGGGGTTGGGTCATTCGACGTAAAGAGGATCAGGAAGCCGCCGATGCTCTTTTGACAGAGATGGAAACCAGGACTGGCTGGGATGTCACACAGTCTATCCAAGCTTTACGACAGCAATGGGCAGGCGATGATTCTGATTGCTAAGACAATGCTCGGAGTCCAGCCGAGTGTAATCTTCCCAAATTGATCATGAGATGCATCCCAAGTAGTATACTAAGCGATGTGCTACGACTGCGTGAAGATATTCGCATTACTGTGAAAGCTTGAGGTCATCCAGGTATGGCGTCAAGGCACATATCACTTGCCAGGAAAGGGCGGTCACAGGGACTTCATATACATGATTAACACGGTTGATCCTTTCAAAACCTTATCGGCAGCATCTTCTGATTCGCTGAAAACTTGGCTAGCTGCCGGTTATGAGCACCAGCCTGAAGCTTAATGAGCCACCGCGCTGATCAGAAACCGCCCATGACAATCAACCGATTGGCGAGGAAATACTCCGTCGAGAACTACCAGCAAAAAGTTCCGCTACGCCGAGGACATTGGCTGGTTCTCGCATATCTCATACCAATACCTCCGTGATGAAATCAAGATTTCATCTTCCGAGTCCATGATCTCGGACTCCAGCCCACACATTGGGTCATTAGACTTGATTCGCATGCAAGACGGCATTCCACTGGGTTCCAGGGTCCAGTTCTAGCGGTGAAGGGGACTATGACGGCAACTCAATATGAGATATCCTATAATATTTATAGAACAGACTGCACTAATCACGTTGCATGATTCTGTGAGCCTATTATGGGTCGTCGTCATATGCAAGATGCATAGATGTCGAACAACAATCTTGATCGCTTCTGATATGGCTCAAGCGAGCACGAGACTGGACCCTTTCTTGCCATCACCATCCTCAACTCGGGCTCAAAGCCTAAGCAGCACTGACCTTGCGATGACGTCTGACCAAGGGTGGAGAGTAATTTATCCACGTGGTACCATTAACAAGTGCCAAGTTATATCTGAAACGCTTGTGACCGACGACCCTGACCTCTCACACCCTCAGTTGGCGTCTTCGTGATCGCTTCCATTCAAGAACAGTACATTCTAACGGGCAAAAACACCTTACTGCTTAGTGAAAGAAGTCGTTATCAAGTTCCTTGATCCACCGACCGACCTGAGCTCACTCCTCTCACTACGCCGGTGCGACCAAAGCGTGCCTTCCAACCGACCGCCCAATGCCGCTCTTTCGCAAGCGGAGAGGACCCTCCGCTGTACTGTCACGGCCCGATGATCAGGACAAGCCTGCAAAGACCAGCCACTCAATTCGTGCACATCTCAATGGCAAAAAGACCTGGGCTGCAGCCCATCGCGGTCCCACTCCAGCGCTACCCAACAGTAGCGGGCCAAGTATAGAACAGGACACCACCACCCTGGTTTTCATCCCAAGCTTATCCAAACCCAAGCAGTCGCTCCTCTGGCCCAACGTCAACCCCCCGATTGACTTCCTCCTCTGTCTGAACGAGAAAGCCCTCGAACAGCAAGTTCTTTTGAACCAACCCCGGCAAAGCACCAAGATGATCGATACGAGCCGAACCCAGTCACCACCGCCACTGCCGGCGAACCTGGCCGCCTCCCTCCTTCCGGGCTATAACGACGTGAGCGGCTCGGTCATCGTCGACTGGAACGGCTACCCACATTTCCTCTCGCCGCAGGAGGAACAAGACCGGAAGCTGCAACTGGAGCGTGCGGTGGAGGAGCGCATGCTAGGGCTGCCCCGGCGGACGGACTTTGCGTGGGAGCGACCCTGTCACCAGGATCACCGTCAGTCTCCTTCTTTACCGAGGTATACACCAGGGCCAAAGCAGCAGTCACAATCGCGGTCTCCGCAGAGCACGAGCAGTCATTGCTCCGTTCGGCGGTGACGTGGGTCGAGCGTCTACTCCGATACTGCGCGAGTTGTAGTCTGGGATAGCCATCTATATCACACCTCCTCGACCTTCGTCTAGATAAGAGACGAGATACACGACATTGGCGCTGGGAGCCTACAGGAACGGCACTTCTCCTCTACGCCTCGACGACCTCAATTTGCACCTCAACGATTAATGAGCTACGACATGAATGAAACATGGAGAACACGGGCATGCACAAATGAAGAAATGGTAATGATGGATAAGATGGAACTCGGATCAGAGTCATGCTAAGGCGGAGCACTTTTTGAATTGATTCCAATCAACACAAGATATATACACCCTTTTCAATGGGAAGCCCCATCAGTACAAACAAATTGCTACAAAGTATGCTAGTACGCAGCCTTCTGCCGAGTCTAGTCTAGTTCCGGAAGAGTCTCAATCCGCCCTCCTCGCGATCAGCATCGCTCTCCTCATCCACAGCATCCTCCTCATCCTCACCCTCCCGTAGCAGCCCACTAGCCGTGTTCCCGAGCAACGAAGCGAAGAACTCCTCGCGGGCGTGACCGGTCCAGGAGCCACGGTCCTCGGGCGCCATGAAGTTCTGCAGCTTTTCGTGGACGTCGAACTTCATCTTGCGGCCCTTGGAAGCGCGGGTGTCGACGTCGCGTTTGACCTTGTCATTGCGCATGCCGGTAACCGGGTGCACAGCCGACAGCCGCGAGGGAAGCTGCAGGTGCAGCGAGTCGAGGCCGTTGGAGATGGCGTCGGACGATGACATGCGCTGCTCGACCAGCTCACGCAGCAGTGACTGGTAGAACACCGTATCGTCGTAGAGCGGTTGCTGCTCGTCATCGGCGGCGGCGGTAACATCTCTCTTCGTCGTAGAAGTCGAGTCCCCATTGGCAGAGGAGGAGGTGGTGCGGGCGCGCTTCACGGCGCGGATACCCGCTGTCTCGGTCGCGACCTGCGCGTCCAGCACGGCCGAGATCGTCTGCGAGCCCGAGCCCGACGACGCAATCAACTTGCTGCCGCGCGCGGGCGCGTTCGCACCCCGCACCTTCTGCGACCACTTGTCCAGGACCGCGCGGCGGTGCGCCAGCGACTCGGCCTCGAGCGCGGTCATGCGCTTCCAGAGCGAGGCCGACGAGGTCCCCGGCGTGACGGCCGCGGGCCGTTTGCGCTTCTTGTCGTCTTGCTGCTGCGTGTGGTGCGCGTCCGCAAGCGCGAGACGTAGGTCCTCCAGCGTGGACCACAGCGCGAGGGCGGCGCTTTCCGCGGATTTGATCGCCTCGCCGTCCAGACTGTCGGTGTCAGCCTCGGCCTCGGCCTCCGCGGCTTCGGTGTTCTCGGTACTCTCGTTCGCGGGTTTCGGCTGGTTGACGGCGAGCGTGAGCTGATGGATGGCTGTCAGACCCTTCTGCAGCTTGATCCGCGTGTTGAGGAGCGCGTCGAAGGTCGCGCGCTGCTGCTTCACGGCTTTGCCTTTCGTGGCGTCAGCCTTCGCGGCCTGCGAGATCGTCGCTGCGATAGTCTTTTGGTCGGAGGCCATCAGTTTGCGGAGCTCTTCGCGGTCGTCGGATTTCTTGGTCGTGGAGTCGTCGAATTTGACGCGGCGGTTGGGCGTTTCGTTGTCGGAGGCGTCAGAGTCCTCCTCCTCGTCCGAGTCCTCGTCGTCGTCTGAGTCGGACGGGAACTCATCCTCGTCCTCGTCCTCGGATCCTTCCAGCTCGTCCGACTCGTCCGTGTCCATGTCGTCGAAATCGACCTCCCTCTTGCCCTTCTTGCCGGCCTTCTTGGCTGGTTGGGCGGTTTCCTCCTCGCTTTCGTCGGAGATGTCCTCGTCGTCCTCATCGCTGCCTAGCTCGAGATCTTCGTCATCATCCTCCTCATCCTCCTCATCATCGTCCTCGTCGCTCGAGCGAGCCTTGAATGGATCATCATCGCTGTCGGCCTCCAATGCCTCCCTGCTAACCTTCGAGCCGGCGTACTGCTTGCCTAGGGCAATCGGATCCTGTTTGCGAAGTTTTCCCTTGCTGGACGATGTTAGCGCCGACCGCGTTCATTCTACCCAGCCGATACAAGCATCCGGCGACAACGACAGGTACCAAGTAGAAACCTACCCAACAGCTTGATAATGCTCGCGTCCAGCATCCGCACCCCCCGCATTACCCCCCTCATCTTCGCTATCCTGATCGCCGCGATCAAGATCCTCGGGATCGAAATCTAGAGCGCAAAACAACAACAGTCAGCCTCCACCAGAACAGCCAGGGAGCAAACACGAGACGATCAACGTAAACACACCTCTAGGAGTAGGATCCTCCAGCTCAGCGAGCTGTTCCGCAAGCGATTTAGGAGCCATGCTGAAATGTGCAACGCAAACAGTTTAAAACAAAAGACTCTGCAAAAGGTGCTTGCTGTGTTCCGCGGCCGACTTTTTTTTTTTTCTTGTTCTGCCCGAAATTTCGGGATGCGGTCACGGGAGAACTAACCCGATCCAGCCAATATGTATCTGTGAGGGGCAGGTATTCCCGGCGGTGAAGACGGATAAACCGGCAGTATGAAGGGACGTCTTCATCGTATTCTCACCGCCGCAGTGCAATCGCATCGCGAACCACCAGAAACTCCGGCATCATGTTGAGCAAGAGGCTGTTCTCGACGTTCCGGGTGCTGCAACATGATAATCCCTTGGTATAATCTCTTCTCTATTCTTTGTCTCGTGCGAATTTCTAACGCTGAAGCGACAGGGCCTCCCCCGCTCCGGCACGCCGCCCTCATTCCCTCGCCGCCGCGGCCTGCCCGAGAAGCGCAAGATCCGGGATGTGAAGAAGGTGATTGCCGTCTCGTCGGCAAAGGGAGGCGTAGGGAAGTCGACCATCGCCGGTGCGCTCTCTTCTTGCATAATCCATCAGAGACATTTCTAACTCGCCCGCCGTCACCAGTCAACCTGGCGCTGGCATTCGCGCGGCGCGGCATCCGCACCGGCATCCTCGACACCGACATCTTCGGGCCCTCGATCCCGACCCTACTGAATCTGAGCGGCGAGCCGCGACTAGATGAGAGTGCGTAATCCCTCTTCTCCCTCTATCAACACCAGATATATATCGTCCCGGGGGAGAACCCCCGGACCTCCCTTCTCTTCAACTCCCTGGCACACCTACCGTTATATCAAACACAGAGATATAAGCATCCCCGGGGAGAACCCCCTTCCTTTCAGCTCCCTGGCACATCTACCTACCTCACCACAACCCAATAACCAACTAACAAAAAAACAGATAACTGTCTCCTCCCATTAACAAACTACGGCCTAAAATCAATGTCAATGGGCTACCTCCTCCCACAACCTTCCCCCCCCTCTTCCACCCCCCAATCATCCCCAGACCCAAATCCAATCCCAATGGACAGCACCCCGATCTCCTGGCGCGGCTTAATGGTCACAAAGGCAATGCACCAGCTCCTCCACAGCGTAACCTGGGGCGCCCTGGACGTGCTCTTCCTAGACCTCCCCCCGGGAACCGGCGACGTCCAACTAACCATAAACCAAGAGATACAGCTCGACGGCGCGGTGGTGGTGACCACGCCGCAGGACATCGCGCTGCGGGACGCGGTGCGCGGCATCGGCATGTTCCAGCGCATGGACGTGCCCGTGCTGGGCATGGTGCGCAACATGGCGTTCTTCAGCTGCCCCTGCTGCGGCACCGCCACCGAGATCTTCGGCCACGGGCATGCGCACCTGAAGGGCAAGGAGGAGGAGTGGGGCGTGCGCGCCGAGTGTCGCAGGCTCGGCGTCGAGTTTCTCGGCGATGTTCCGCTCGATGGTGCCGTTTGTGCGGATGCGGATCGCGGGGTGCCGACTGTTGTGGCTGAGGAAAATAATCCGGACAGTAAGCGCCGGGGTGCGTTTTTGGAGATTGCGGAGCGGGTTGCGGGGAGGGTTGGGGTTCAGTGGTAGCTTTCTTTTTTCTAGGTCTCGGGGAGAGAGGGGGAAGCGGGGGTGGGGTTTTGTACAGTATGATTAAGTTAGTGTGGTGTGGTGTATATACCCTGATGGTTGTGTTGATTCTCCGAGTGCTGATTCATGGTCCACGTGTAAGTGGACCGCTTGCTAAATGTATTGAGTGCATTAACGAAGGTGACACTCATAGAACTAGACTAAATCGGGTATTCACAAGACTCAACCAACAGACCTCCCAGGACGAAGAAAATAACAGTAGTCGTGTGTATGTACAGTACAGTATAAATGGGACATCTAACAAAAACTCGCGCAAGACAAAATCTATCCTCAGCGCGGCACATATTCCTCCGCCGTCTTGAAATATTCCCGGTCAGGCATGACCGGCCGCGGCGTCGCCTCCATCTCGTTCCCACCGTGAGCAGCGCCGGGCGTAGGCACCTCCCCCTCCCCAAACTCACTGGGGAGAGCCTCGAACGAACGATACGCGGATTCGTTATCACACGCCGTGCCCAACACCCCCGTGGCGTTGAGGACCGCGCGCGTACTGGCAGCATCGACCCCGTTCGTGGTCACGGCGAGTGACTTCTCATCGCCGATCGTGCTCGTGTCTTCCGGCGGCTCGGTGGTAAAGCCACTGCGGATGGTGCCGGACCCGTCGTTCGACGAGGGACGTTTGCGGAGTCGCGCCCAGGCGGGATCCGAGATGTTCGGCACCGCGCCCGCTTCATGGAAGAGGGCTCGGGTGCTTGCGTTCTCCTCCTCAAAATTCTTCCCCTCGTACCCCGGTAGGACGAGCAGCGGGCCGAAGTTCTCGAGCGAGGGTGCCTGGGTATGTGAGTTCATCGATGGATCGCGCGCCTCCTCCTCGGACGGAACGTTAGTCCCCGAGGAATCGCATCCATTGCTCAGACCGTTCGGCTGGGCCTTCGTGGTGTGTGCATTGGAAAAGTCCTGCACAGAGGCGCCAGTCACTGCAGCCGCCTGCTGGGTAGCGGACGCGTTCTCGTCCGTCTGGTGCGCTGCTTCGGCTTTCATCGACGCCCCGGCTTGGCCCGCGTCGACGCTCGTCCGCGCAGACCGATCGCCCTTCAGCTGCTCCTTGACGACGGTCCGCTCATCATGCTTGCTGGCCATCTTGCTCCACATGGTCATCGGGTAGCTCTTGCGACCCGTCTTGGCCGGCAACACGCGAGGCACGCTTCTCCGGGCAGCCAAGGCGCTCGGTGGTGGCAGCTCGCCTTCGAAGTTCTGGAGCCCATACGCTAACTCCTTGATTCGTTGCCGTTGAACACGGAGTTTCTCCTTCGCGAATCGGGTGTCCCACTCTTTCTTCGCAGACATCCACTTGCGCACGAGCACAGGGTTGAAGACCCCGACTTTAGAGGGAGGGATCTGGAGCACGGAGCACGAAGATGGAGGGTCCAGGTGGTACACATTGCCCTTCTTGTCTACTCTTTGCCGGATCATGCGATCCTTGAACGCTGGGAGAGGGTCGCCCGCCTTTCCAATGGAATCGACGGGGGTGTGAGCCTCCGATTCCCGCTTGTTAGGGTCCTCGCTGCTGTCTGTATCGCTCGATACGTTATGGTCATCGACTATCTCAACCTCGGTGTCTTGCGCACACGCCAGGGCCCATGCACCAAACTGTGCAATAGCCCGGTACATATACTTGGCAGGATGCGTGAAGCTGAGAGTCGGTGCTACATGACACAAATCGTCCCATACCTGAAGTTGGACGTAAGTCCCCGAATACTTGTGGAGGGTTTCGCGGTTCGGATCGTGCTCGTCAAGAAAAGCGTCCCCGGGTGGGTATGCGGCCGGTTTGGCGGCTTTGTGGGCGACGTAAAACTGCTCATCCCTCAACATCTCTCCACCCCCACTCTGAATCAGCAGTGGGGGTAGTCCTCCGAGGGAAGGCTGGAAGATGGGAGAAACGAGCGGGTGCGTCAGAAGTTCGTTGGTCGTATACATGTGAATCTGATCCTTGATCACGACCGTTTCTCCGTCTATGGGAATTGTGATCTTCTCATTGTGGATTTCGGTAGACTGGCGCTGGGCATCGGTGCGGTCGGCCTCGGACGAGCTGCTCTTGTGCACCGAGTAGCCCCTTTCTGCTGTTTTCTCGGATTGGCTATTTTGCTTGGGGACCGCATCGCTGGGTTTGGCCGGGTTTTCCATGAGTGCTTTCTTCAAGGAGGCGAGCTCATCTGCGTTGGGAGGAGGCCACGCTGTAGAAGGCTTGTGCATGAAACCGTAGGGCGGGATATAGTCTCCGGGATTATCCTTGACAATACTGGGAAATGAATGGGTCAGGTCGACCCATGGCGAAATCAAGATTGCTCCTGCCGGCAGAGGAAGTCCTTGGTCGCGGAGGATCACAAGCATCCTTAACACGTTAGTGGCAAGTTCAAATGTATAAAGGTTTCAACCTACGAGAGAACGAGGCCTCCTCCAGCAGAGTCGCCTGCAAAGATGATCTCCTTGGGCTGATGCTCCTTCAGAAGATACAGATAAGCTGCCAGCGAGTCCTGCAGGCCACAGGGAAATGGGAACTGTGGTGCCAGTCGATATTTAGCTAAAAGATGGTTCAGCACTGCTCAGGGTAGGCGCTTTTATCCGATTATAGCATGGAAACTCACTGGCATAGTTAGTACATGTTGCTCTATTAAAGGAACAGTGGGAGCTTACCGTGCAAAAACCCGCCCTTTCAGCTTCCGCGCATGCCGCTGCATCTGATACCGATGCGTATCCAAACTGCCGAAGAAATACGCACCACCATGGATATAGAGCATTATGCGCTTCTGGCTGGGATGATCGCGACCCGTCCGCTTCCGCTCATTGTAGTCATCCTTCATCTCGATCCACTCGGCCTTCAAGTCCTCAGCGGGGCCGCGCCATTGCCACCATTCCTTTCCGCCGACGCGAGCGATGCCTCTCGGACCGAGCTGCTTGTTGACCGCATCTGCCGCGCCCAGCAGACAGTCCTCAGGCACGGTGACGGTTTCGAGCTTCACCCAATGCGGCGCAGGAACTCTCTGGCAGGAGAAGGTTTGGAGGTCTTCCAGGGTGTGCTTGGAAGCGTACACGAGGAATTCGCGCAGGATGCGAAGACTTTCATCGTAGGAGATGTGGACGTTGGGCTTGTGGTGCAGTAACTTGCGGTGGAGGTACTGATGGATGTGAAACGGGGGTCAGTTGGGGAGCAACGGAGATGAAACGCGATGGAGCAGCGTTGGCCGCGGATGGGAGGAATGACCCACATGCGAGATCAGGGTCTGAAGAACGGTCGGGGTGAGGGCCAGACTCAATGCGAATGTATTCAGGGGCATGGTTCTGGTGCGCTAGGTGGTGATCGAGCAAGCTTCAGACGAGGTCATGAAGCCCGAGGGAGTGGAGAAAGGCGAGGTATATGAGGTATATAAGGTGAAGTGGAACGGAAAGAGTCCAGGAGGAGAGGGGGTGGCAGCGCAGATAAACTAAAGGAGGGATGGAAGTAGCGGAAACGCAGGGAGACGAGGGGGTGGGCCAGGAACAGATCGAAACAATCTTAATAGAACAATTGACCAATGCCAGTCGAGACAGACAAGGGCTGGGCCCTTTTGGGTGGGTGAATGAATGGCTGTGCTGCGAGGAACAACAACACAGAGCATCATCAGCATCATCAGCATCATCGTCATGGATCCTCTCTCTTTCTTTGATTCCTCAGGCCCAAGCGAGGTGATGTCATGGCTGACCACATGCCGCTAGTCCCGTTGCGGAAGCTGCGTTGGTTCGACTGGAGCAGCGAAGAAGTTACGCATCTGTCCAGACAATTATCGCTTGTTGTTCAGTCAGGCAATCATAGACAATCACTGTCTGGCTCATGGAGGATAATTGCGACCGATGGTTGTCTCCTCGGTCGAAGGAAAAAGGAGGGAAATGATCTGTATGACGCCGAGTCGCCGACACGAGTGTGCTCCAGTAGCTTCTCCATTGGCCCACTTTTGCAGCCAAGCTTCTGATAAGGACCCTTTGCTGCATCTGGCGAATAGCCTGCAGCTTATTCGGTGACCGCTATAGCTTCAGCTGGGTTCAGCTGGGCCTGGACGCAGGTGGTGTGTTGTCCGACTCTGAGTTTGAGGTCTGACAGCAGGTGGGGTTGGACAGATAAGCAGATTGAACAATATATTGTAAGAGCAAGGAAGACACTCACCGCCAGGCTGTTCTGCCACACAGCAGTCAGGTGATCGGCTGCTTTTACCCAGTGTATGGGTCGATGAAGCATTATAAGATTCTATATAATGAAATAAAATGAATTAAGATTGAAATTAAGAGAGCACTGTGTAACTGTGTTAGGAAGCACATGATACCTCCGACCCGATCTATTTGCCCGCCATGACGTCTCCATGAGCGGGTTCTCCTCTCCGCACTATCTTATCGCAACCGCAATAAAAACTTCAAACACCAACACTTTCCTCCCTTCCACCACCTTTACTTTGACCTCCACCTCGACTCATCACCAACAATCCAACCTCGAGCAAACAAGCACAGCACCCCCCCAAAATGACCACTCCAACCACCGCACACCCAACCACAATGAAAGCCTGGCTTTACACCAGCACAACACCAACCCTGGAAGCCAACCTAACGCTGCACTCCTCCGCGCGCGCACCCCCATCCCCGCTCCAACCATCTCAGGTGCTCATCCGAGTCCTAACCGCAGCCCTAAACCCAGCAGACTACAAAGTCCCCGCGATGCCACTCATCTCCACAGCACTGATCCGCAAACCAGCGAGCCCCGGGCTCGACTTCGCCGGCGAAGTCATCTCGACGGGCAGCAGCGCCGACACCAGCACTTTCGCAGCAGGGCAAATCGTCTACGGCACGCTCGATCTACCCACGCAGTTCGGCTCGCTGGGCGAGTACCTCATCGCCCGGGAAACCAACATCCACCCGGTGCCGGAGGGGGTGAGTATCGACCACGCGGCGACGGTGGGCGTGGCGGGGATGACAGCGTGGCAGTCGATCGCGCCGTTCGTGACGGCCGACGCCGGGGAGCGGGTGTTCATCAACGCCGGGTCGGGCGGGTGCGGGATCTTCGCGATCCAGATTGCTAAGGCGCTTGGGTGTACCGTGACGACTACCTGCTCGACGAAGAATGTCGAGTTCTGCAGGGAGTTGGGCGCGGATGAGGTGATCGATTATACGGCGGAGGATGTCACGGGGGTCTTGAAGGCGAAGGGTCAGGTGTTTGATCATGTTGTCGATCATATTGGCTTGCCGGCTGAGTTGTATAATGAGTGTCATGCTTTCTTGAAACCTGGCAAGGTGTTTGCGCAGGTCGGCGCCACCCGGTTCCCGACGTTCGCGACCCGGTTGCTGCGGCCGGGGTTCCTGGGCGGCGGAAAGCGGAGGTATTTGCCTATCTTCTGGAAGCCGAATAAGGAGGATTTGGTGAAGGTTGGGGAGTTGATTCGCGACGGTAAGGTTAAGGTGGTGCTGGATAGTGTGTTTGAGTATGAGGATGCGCCGAAGGCGTTTGAGAAGCTGCGCTCGGAGCGGGCGCGCGGGAAGATCGTGGTGCATGTGGCCAGCAGGGCTTGAAAAGTTTGGATTGTTTTCGCTGGTGCGACGGGACTTCTTTTCTATGTACAGTATAATGATATTGTGGGGGTGGGGTCAATCACCCCCGCACAGAGAATGCTAATCTCATTCCTTCTTGTTCAAGAAGGTCATCGCGCCCACAGCCATGGCATCAACGGCCGTGCGCAGCGTGGGCTGGATCACCGGCGCGAAGAACGGGGAGTGGTTATTGGGCAGCTCGCGCACGACATCCCTAGCCACAGCATCATCCCACGTGTCGGGATCCACGCCGCCAAACGTCCACATCACATAGGGCGCGCCGACGGCGGTAGCCAGCAGCGAGAAGTCCTCACTGGCGGCGGCAGGCTCGGACTCGACGAGCCCGTCGGCAAAGTAGTCCGCGAAGGTGCCCTTGAGGGCCTTGACCAGCTTCCCGTCATTGATCGTCGCAGGGGTGGAGTAGGTGCGCTTGACCACGGGCTTCTCAACGCAGCCGGCAGCCTCACACTCGGCCTCAACGATGCGGTGGATGGAGGCGACGATGCGCTTGCGGGTAGCGGCGTCGTAGGTGCGCACGTTGAGCTTTAGATCGCAGTAGTCCGGGATAATATTGTGGGCGTGGCCGGCCTGGAAGCTGCCGCAGGTGACGACGGCCATCTCGCCGGGGGTGACCTCGCGGCTGACGATGCTCTGCAGCTTGGTGACGACGGCGGCGCCGGCGACGATGGGGTCGATGCAGGTGTGCGGCGCGGAGCCGTGGCCGCCGCGGCCGAAGATGCGCACGTCGAAGGCATCGGCCGCCGTCAGGAAGCGGCCCGCCCGCACGCTGACCGTCCCTGTCTTCATGCGCATGACGTGCTGCGCCAGCACCACGTCCGGCTTGGGGATCTTGTCGTACAGTCCGTCCTCGAGCATCGCGCGCGCTCCGTCCAGCTGCTCCTCCGCTGGCTGGAAGATGCAGATCAGCGTGCCGGCCCAGTGCGCGCGGGCGGAGTGCAGCAGCAGCGCGCTGGCCATCAGGCTGGCAACGTGTGTGTCGTGGCCGCAGGCGTGCATCACCGGCATCGTGACCCCGTCTGCGTTCTTGGTGGTTTTCGTGCTGGCGTAGGGCAGCCCGGTCTTCTCCTGCACGGGAAGGGCGTCCATGTCGGCGCGCAGAAGCACCGTGGGCCCCTCGCCGTTGCGGAGCACCCCGGCTACTCCATGGCCGCCGATGTGAGTGTGGACCTCAAAGCCGAGGCTCTGGAGGTGGTCGGCGGCGATGGCGGCAGTCTCTTTTTCCTGGCCGGACAGTTCGGGGGACTGGTGGAGGTGGCGGTAGGTCTCCTCAAAGGGTTTCAGATCCGGACGGTATTTCTCAATGATGTCCTTCATGGTGTCGGAGGGGGCTGAAGCTCAAAGTCAGAGGTGTTGGAGGTGATGGGTGATAAGGGGAAGCGGGGAGAGCGGGGTTAGATGCAGTAAGGTAGTAGTAGGTAGTGACGTGGTGGAAGCTCACCTAAAATCTGCATGATGGCTGTGGGGAAACCAATGGTGTTTATATGCAGGGAAAACAAGGATGAAGTTGCCAACACGACAGCATTGAAGGTCGGCAGTCCATGCGAACCAGCGATTAGGCCGATTGCCGAGTAGCTAAGAGCGGGGAGGGTTCGATAAGTCTCCGATTCCAACAATATCATGCCCGATAAGCTACGGCGATCGGCGGAGCTGACCGCGAGTCCTGCCCCTTCCAGCAACTCGGCTAATTGCCCAGTGTAGAGCTCGGCTATCGGGTTCTTGGCTGGAATGAGGATAGAGCATACTCATACCTACTGCAATTGCAACTCCGTAAGAGGAAACGAAAAGTATATTGGCATAAGAAGCGCAATGTTAAGGTGAGATGATCTGGAAAGTACCGCAAAAGGACAGAAAGCAAAAAGAAATGTTGCTCACACTCGGACTCGAACCGAGGATCTCAGCATTACTAGTGCTGCGCTTTACCATCTAAGCCATGCGAGCTGGTTGGTTACATGGGGTCATTTCTGCGGATATCTGGCTAAACAACACCAATTCAGTGACACTGCAGCTGCTGTGCATCCCCAAAATTCTTCTACCCCGCACAAGCGTTGCAATAACCTTGACTCTCAGCCTCAATATGGTCAACGCTCCATTGTAACCCACTCTGCTACTTGAGACATGGCAATTGGCACATGCGGGTGGGCCCATTCATCCACTGCCGCACCCGAGCCTCCACCAACACAAGGCTTGACATCTGTAGATGTTGCACACCACGCTCAGTAGCAATGAAGCCTGCAGTCAGCTTGAAACAGAAACCAGAGGGGGGTAGAAACTTCTTGGATTGACTTGGGCCGGTTACTGAACGGCATCGGAGGTGTGGAGGTCAAGTTCTCTTCTATTGAGAAGTTCTAAACAAGCTAGTACACTATATATCACTACCTCACGCTATCGTCCGCCTGGCATGTCAAATGAGAAGGTATCAAATGTTGCTAGAAAGTGAAGCAGACACATCTGAAATGATATTCAACCAGTAGATAAGCCAGTTCGCACCGTGGCTGATATCTCTTCATTATTCACTGGCCAGTGAGCTCGGTACCAACCCATTTGTTGAGAATATAGTGAATAAATCCGTTCCTGCCAGTGGTCGAGTGACGCAACTCATTTCAGTCAGTGATCAAGTGGATGGCCTCGATAAGATGTCGAGGGCTATATAACAACCCTCAGCACCCATCATCAACATCCTTTCTTCCTCCTCACATCCTCCAAAACCCCAAGAACCGTTATCCCTCTTCCACCAACTTCGCTCCACTCCATTCTCAAACAACCTTAACCTCACCAAAACAGACCAAACCAACCCTTGATCACACGATCCCACCAAATGAAGCTCTTCACTCTCGCCCTCACCCTCCTCCCCCTCTTCGCCGGCATCGCCAACGCAGCCGCGATGACCCCGGTCAGCAACCTCATCGCCAAGGACCAGGACTCCGCCTCCAGAGAGATGTGCGGCCAGTTCTGCGTCGGGCCCCACAGCTGCCACGGCAAGTGCAACAGGTGCGTCAACCTTACTTGCAAGAAGTAGTACGCTGCTGCTTCCCATCGCGTGAGTCCGATCCCAGCTCGAAAAGACGTACCCAAACCTAACTGACCCGTTTAGAACCAGCCTCACCATATCGAAGACCTGCCTCCTGCCTGCATCGAGTATTGGGGTTCTTATTCGATACTTGGGAATCTGTCACAGAGCAGTGAGATGACTTTCCGATACAGCGCACAGTACATGGGTAACACGGGAGAGCATGGAATGATTGCGGATTACATGGTGGGACTAGCTTGGGTTTGGTACTGGATGGATGGATGGATGGATTGCTTTCTGTGCTTTTTGAGAAACGATGTGGAAGGACTTGTTTGGCCTGGGCTAGGGTGTTCGAGATTGTTTGACTGGCTTTTTGGCTGGTACAGTACATTGGCTGCTTCTTGGTGGTTTGACTGGTTAGTCTTGTGAACGGCCTTGAGTCTAGGATAAACAATCCACCTACGTTTCTTTCTATCATCTTCAGGTTCTAGTTTACTCGCTGCGACCAATCAACCTCGTGAAGGCCACGGAAATCCGACTGCTCGCATAGATCTGGCGTGGTAGACTGTATATCAGCCAGCATGATAAGCCATCAGGTGGCTGTGACGGCATCGATAGACATGCAGCGGGGACTAAAGCAGGTACCGTCACAAGTTAAGAGGCGGGTGAGATTGCAGGGATGGAGGTACGTACAGTAGATTAAGTACTCCGTACATGTAAGTGGATGGCTCAGCCACCATGCCCACACCAGCGACCACCTACCCTTGTATTCTTCCCTCACACATGGGTGTAGTAGGATGTTTACTATCATGCTGTCAAGTCAACTATCTACATTCTACACTTCCTACCGTGTGATTGGCCATCCCGCCTAATACTCTCACACTGACCACTGACAGCCCAAAAGTGGACCCGAAGTCGCACTGTAGTGGAGCTCCCGCCGCGCCAAACCCACCCATCCAGGAAATCTCTGCGAAGAGCAAAAAAAAAAAAAACCACCCATTTACTTGGGATGTAGCATGAAATGCAAAAAGGAAAGCCGAACGCGGGGGTTGAACCCGCAACCTTGAGATTAAGAGTCTCACGCTCTGCCGATTGAGCTAGCCCGGCTGTTGTTGTTGAGGGCTACGCTTTTCTACGGTATATACTGACAGCATACCTAGTAGCCTTGTTGTTGAGATGACATGACAAACCACTCAGCTCAGAGGAAGCGCAGATGATGACGATTGTTCAGCTCCCGTGAAACCCTGGTGCCTGGATATCGGAGTGCGAGGCAGATAACGTCGACTGAAAAGTGGGTGGATGGCCGAGTGAGTATGTGTCAGAGGGGTAGATCCAGCTTTGTGCATCCAACTGCTGTGATATATTCCCGCAGCCGGGATTGGTGGTGGTGACGTTGCGCAATCGGGGGGTTCCTCGGGCTCAACAGAAACAAAAGAAGAAACATGACTGTCCACGCCTCCTCGTGGCGATGGAAGAGCACCGCTGGTCAGCCTGATCTACCCACATACCCACCGACCATCCGCGCAGTAGCCCGGCACGAGCACGCGCTCATGCGACCATCATCGGGTCGTTCGCATGCGGCGGCTTCCAGCGCGTAGGCAGGTGGGATTCTCGAACGAAGATCTCCCACAAGGCAGCAGCACCCGATCGTGCGAAATTCGTGCGAAATTTCTCGAAAGGTCGCAGACAGAATTGGAAACCGTCGTAGGCAGAGCGGTTTCCCTACCGTGCGCGAGGTGATGACGACTTTCCAAGTCTCCGACCAGAGTGTCACGGCGATAGGATACGAGTCACCTAAAGGGTCATTGCGCGCGGTACCTGAAACAGAAACAGGAGGTCGAGCGACCAGAACAACTATTCCGAGTAAGCCTCCCTAGCGAAGACGAGTGACAATTTGTAGAAGGTAAAACGTGCAGGTTGCATTATTCTCGCGATCCAAAACTCGTGGAAGCAGGGAATCCCATCGCTGTAGCGCCCGTATCGGCGGGATTGGGAAGGAGAAAAGACCAGGAGAGAAAACCACAGCCAGTCGTCGCTTGGACGGAGGCTGAGCTCAGCGGAAGGACTCTGGGCATTGGCGAAGAACAAGATGTGATCGAGCTAGTGTAAGGGGAGAAAACCAAAGGGTCTGGGGCTGAGACGGTTGACCCTTTAGCCTTTTGGTAGGGAGCGCGGGCGATCGACGGGTTCGCTCGTATCGGACGGAGGTTGGTTGGCGGTCGAGCCTCCCTCCGGTCTCTACCCCATATCGGTGGGTGTGTACATATTCTTAGATCGCTCAGGGTCGGCATCAATGATCGATAGGGTGCGAGGAAAACTGTAGAGACCCGACAGACTGGAACTGGACAAGACTATTGTCTCGAATACCGCTCGCGGGTGTTGACAGCGGCTGCGTAGCAAATGAGGGCGGGCAAGAGAACCTGGGGCCCGGAGCTGGTCGCATACACTAGGGAGTTCATCAACAATTCATGTCAACCAACAATTATCGGGGGGGTCAAGCCACAGTCAGTCTCGGGATGTTTTTGCTGAATAATGGCGTCATGAGCAGTGAACCGGGAGTCTAGTAGTGCTCGTGTTGGGGAAATTGGGAGAGGGAGGACAAGAAGGAAGATGACGAGGTGGCAGTTGAGGATTGCGGCGCAGGCAACACGAGGGCACAAGCCACAGCTCCAGCCATCCATCGCTCCTTGACTGCGATGATGATGATGACTCGAGTGAACTTAACTAGACTCCTCGGTCCTTCCCCGACATCCCGAAGGGGGATAGGCCTGTAGTGGTGGTAGTGATGGTGGTGGCATTAGTGGCCTTAAGGGATGGACTAACCCTATCTTCTCCTAGTCTGTCCGCCCGGAGCAGTCAGATGAGAATAAATGAAGACAGATGAGGACAGATGAGGACAGACAGGGGAGGGATGATCCATCTTTGACCGACTGTTGCTGACCCCTTCACCAATCATATTCATGGATTTCCCTTCAAAAGGCGATCCAAGTTGTGAACAGTGCACTTCCAACTGGGAAGTGCAGGAGCTGCACTGCCTTCACTTGTTTACTCCACTGCACCAGCCACAAGTCCGACAGACAGAAGAGACAGCCTTACAGTAGTCACCAGGCAACACTTTCCCTCAGAAACTCCTCCCATCAGCTGCCACACCCTCCCTTTTCATCATAGTTATTATTATTATTATTATTCGCATGCTTTTTAATTTTAGATTATGACTGATTCCTCCTTAGCGTCCCCGCTTGTGACTAGATCCGCCATGACTGCTCGTCGGCGCGACCATCCCTCCTGCAGCTCATTTTACCCTCTTTCATGGATGCCTTCCACTCCAGTCATGTCGAACTATATAACCTCCTCTCCTCCCGCTCTACTTCTTGATTTCTATTTCATACATCTGCAATCAAGTCTCTGATCTAGGCCTACTACAATCTACATAACATCATCCAACTCTCCCCTGGTCTGCGATCCATTTATTTGATCCATTCCTGCTACACACCCGTTTCACTCCACACGTGCCTCAGTACTCATAAGACTCGACCCAATCGTCACGCTGTCGCCCTTCAAGCCCACTCGATTCTTCTGGCCCCCAACCTATACCTCCTTTAGGGAGACTGTTTCCCTTCGCTCTCGCCCCCGTTTACGTCGAACCGCAAGCATGCCTCATCAGGTTGAAGAAGTCGTCGAGCCCGTCGTGCTCGTGAGGGAGCTCGAAGACGACGAGCTCTACGTCCTCAACAGCTTCGAGAACCACGCCGGCCACTGCTCCCGGTGTGCCAACCCCACCAAGGCTCGTGAGGAGGACCGATCCCTGTGCAAGCGTGGCCACCAGTACGCGCGAGACGTGGCCGAATACCTGCGCAGCAAGAACGGCAAGATCTACTCGGTGGTCGACCTGGAACGCAACCGATCCACCCTGGTCAAGGTGCCTCTCAAGTACACCGCTGCTCGTCGGCTGTTGCTGGCTATCGAGGACGGTCTGCGCGTGGAGCGCAAGGCGGCCGTTCGCAACTCCGCGCCTCCGGTCATCAGCTACGATGCCACCTACCCCGTGCCTCCCCGACGCACCACAACACAGGCGTATCACCCTACACAGGCCATCATTGAACGCGAGCCTCGATCGCTGAAGCGTCACCGCGCCATCATCTACACCTCCCCTCGCAGCTCGCCCAGCCGAGGCTCTCTGTACGAGGCCGACGCGGCTGAGCGCTATGAGCGGGTCAAGGAATCATCGCGTATCTACCGGCCGACCGACTACCACCGCTGAATGAACGATTGGTTTGCTCTGTGCTTACACCGTCTTCTTATACGCGCGACACTGGATACCTCTCTGCTAGCTTTTATGCAGCCAAGATGCTGTTACCACGCTGTCCCCTTCCCCCCGGAACCCCCGAATAGACTGGTCCGCCGGATAGGGCTTCCAAAAGACCCGCCGCGGCCTTGCTCGATTCGACCCCCAGCCAACAAGCCAGACCTGCGCGATCGCATTTGGATTTGACGTTGGAGATTCGCTGCTACTGCACTTACGCGTTTCTGCAGTACATCGCATGCGCTTAGGTCATTGAAGAGAATTCCAATTCTTTTCGCATCCTTCTTTTCTGCCTGCGATCATCGCAATGCTTGTCCTATGTTCTGCACCCTTCGATCCTTCGCAATCTCATACAACCCAGAAATTGAGGAACAAAAAAAGTTGAAACCATTCAAAATCAAACTTTCAAGCGAGTGCAACATCCGAACGTGAGAGAGAAGAGCGAGAGAGAGAGAGAGAGAGAGGAGAGATCTGCAGTGCGACCATGCTCATGCTGTCTGCACCGGGGGGAAAGCGGAACAGACCTAAGTCGGGGCATTGCACTTTTGATTCTTGCTGCAACCAAATGTACTGTACTGTACATGCAAGCTGTGACTCATTCGAGTCTTGGAGCGCTTGACTTGTTTTGTACTTAGTTTCTTAGCTTCTAGCCTGAATGCTGCAGGTTGAACTGCAGCTCTGGGATCCTCTCCGGGATCGTCCCCTCCTTTGCGCTGTCCCGAACAGGGTCTAGCCCAACAGCCATAATCTATTATTTCTTTTGTCGTGATTGGTGGTTCCATGTGTCCAATTATGTATGCAGTTTGAATCGAGTATCTTGAATGATTTGTCAATTGAGATGATATTAGTACGCGAATGTATAGGTGGCCTGGATTGGGCTTAGTGTAGTTCTGCTTGGTGTGGCTCCAGACCATTGAAGACTTCAGTCAACGTATGCAGTAGTTTCCAAGAGAGACAGTTACGCTACTTACTGTCCAGAACACAGATCAAGGAGGTTACTAAGTATAGGCCTGTCTAACTATTATTACTTCAATGTCTCATCATCGAACAAGAGAGAACCGACCAAGCAACCAGCCAAAACACAACCAAAACATGCGACCAGCAGCCTCACTCACTCCACCACCATCACACCTGCTCAACAAAAACACAACTTAGGGCATCAATCCTCCGGCCTAGAATCCCCTCACCTTGCTCAAAGAAGACTAGGCCTCACCGAATGTCACCGGAGAATTCCTCTCCTTGGCAGGGTAGGAAGTCCCGTAAGGAAAAAAGGAAGGTCGCATCTGGAATCTCCTCTTCCGTACTCCCGAAAGAACAGGATATTCATCCGAGCTATAATTACCATTTACTCAGGCAATATGCATGCACGCCCAGAAACAAACAATAAAACCCCCCCCTTGCAACCTCAACCTTACGTGTACTCATGCACGCTGTCAAGCTCGACAACCTTGTTTCGGTATGCATGATGTGAGATAGCGGATGCCGGGCGGGAGAGCGGCTGCATTCAGCGCGGTGACTGACGACCACCATCATTAACTATTCAAAACAAGTTGAAATGCTCAGATCCTGAAGATCAAGTGCCAGCGCGTAGGTGGCAAGATACACGCACGCTAAGCCTCACTCCCTCGAATACAAGATTCTAGACTTGGTACCGGCCGACCGCTCTTGGATAGGTACGGGTACCCAGGCATTGCGCATTCAAACTCACTTGCCCCGGCGAGGTATTCGATGCCCACCTCTGTGGACACGCCCACCTCAGCATCGTCACGATAGAATCTAAGAGCTGCACACAGTCTAGACTCCGCCGCTAATTGTTGCGTGGTACGTGCGTGCCCAAGTGGAGCTCCCGGACCCAGTTGCCGGCTCCACTTGCGCTGAGCTGTCATGCCTCCGTAGCCCTAATTGTTCTGGTGATGGTGCGTGGTGCTAATCTGGGGTCTGGGATTGGTGGCTGTCAGCTTGTTTGAAGAAGAACTAAGAGGAGGCCTTTATGGATAGTGCGAGGGGTTAGGTAGGAATTGTGGGGTGGTTTGCCTCACTACATCCATGATGGTTGTTCTATAGATGGTGTCTTTAGGATGGGGGTCTGTGCGCTGGTTAATTTTGGATTTAATTAGCATTGGAGAGGGTAGGTGTGGCTGGTGCTTCTGGAGCTTGTTGCTGGAGAAAGTTTTGATGAGATTGGGGATAAGGAACTGGGGTACTACGGCTACTTTGCGACTCTGAACAGGGCAAGCGCGGGCATTCACTTCCATGACCTTGAGAACATAGTAGGATAATGTCTTTGATACTGGTGTGTCTGTGAATGGTCGTGATATATTCAATTATGCAGATAGTCTAGTTCTGGGGCTGGATTCACTTCAGTATTGTTCCTATCTAGATTGAGAGAGTCGTCCTCCTTTTGCCCTTTCCCTTCCTTTTCACATCTCAATCTCCAAACGCATAGCATCTCTACTTATCTGCTACATCTAATTATCTTTCTACCCAACGGGCTCTCTACGTGTACTGTCATTTCATATAAACCGATAAGTCCAGTCCGAAAGATCATTGAGCCTAGAAAAAAAGAGGCTACCCCAGCTCCATTCCCTGGATGAAGTACGCACGAGCAATGGTATGAGCAAACCCGATCTAAGAAGTCAAATAGAGAAAGAGCTCGAGAAAGACATTAGTAACCTCGGATTCATAGAGGCCTAAACCAGCATTGTGAAGCGTTTAAGATCGCCGATCTTCCGTGCTTCCCTATTCCGTCAGACTCAAGCGTCGGGCCAATCACTTAATGGACAATGAAATTGCAAGTGTACGGCCTTGCAAGTGCTACTTCTGTCATTTTCCCATTCATGTAAGTCCCATTCATGTAAGTTCCTGGTGGCTATTTAAAGGCACAGAGTCATCAGTAAGTCTCTCTAAAACTTTATATTTACATGTACTGATCCGTATACGTATACAGAGCCCAATGCCGGGCCGACATCAATGTGAGACCGAGAGATCATTGCAATAATGGCATTTACATGAAGGCAGTTGTCGACCGAGACCCCTATTCAAGGAAATCAATGCAATCCTTGCATCAAACGCAGCTCTGACTGCGATTCGTAAGGACAAGTCAAGAGATCGTGTCGATAATGTACCGGATGGAGCTACCCACCGTCTTGGGCCGGAACGTTGCCGGTTATATCCGCCTGTCGCAACCCCAGTCTTGCGCACTTCATCCTATAGCGGGCAATTATTACAGTCGGAGTCGTGACAATGGATCTACCTACCGCAAAGGCGACAGTTACAAAGAGTTTCCACATCTCTGCTAAGAAGCAAATCTCCACCTAGCCGGACAAGAAACAAAGCTCGAGGCGCACAGGTCGGGGTGGGGGAAGGGTGGAGAAGCGCATTGTCAACCACCTTGGCAGATTTTGAAGTTGGCTGGAAGCTGAGCTCTGTCTGTCCGACGGAACTCCGTGCCGTGGGAAGTAGGATCCTTGCTCGTCGATCCATCCAATGTATCTAAAAGTGCAACGACACGCCGAGTCTTCTGCTCGCGCCGTGGGAGCATTTCCTTGATGCACAAGAGTCGATCTAACAGTTCAGATTGAAGCTTTTCACCCTCCTCAACCAACCCTTCGGGATCGACGAAGACACTTGCACGAGGAGCACTAGGAGGGACACGAATTGCAAGGGATGTTGGCGCTTGTTTCGAACTGTTGATCTGTAGATTTCTGAGTGCTGAAGTTAGCTACAGTCTTGCACGAGATTACTACGTTTCCATTCAGGATGTATCAAGGAACGATCGAGCAGACTCCATCTCTCACTTACATAGCCTCTAAGCGTATGCCATGCTCAGATGACTCGCCGGGAGTTGGCTTTGTTGAACCCTTCATAGTGGAATTATCTCCCGATGTCTTCCCGTCTTTGCATGCGAGAGAGACGCTGAATAGTGTGAGCTAGAAAGGTGAACGATCCTCTCTGCTCAGGTGGGTGTGTGGTGGGTGCTAGGGGGGGGGCT